ACATAATTCATATGGGAAGCAAAAGACTCCACTGGTGTGGATTCTCCCAAGCAATTTTTTAGTAACTGTCGTTCTATCTTAGTATCCATCCTCCTCTCTACACTCATATGTAGTATACAAAGGCTAGTTAGTTTAACATCTGCTATGGGGAAATTGGTGGAAAGTATTATTAATTAAATAAATAAATATAGAATTACCAACAGAAGAACAAGTCTTTCTAGTAAAGAATCAGCATGGCTTCCACAACAGTAAGTTCTTTCTGAATTTTCAGAGTTCTCTAGTAGTTTTGATAAGTATATGGATAGAAGTGATCCAGTCAAAATTATCTACTTAGGCAATGATTTAGTCCCTCCTGTGTAAGCTTAGCAGTCAAAGGATAAGAGAGCAGGTCCCTGTATGGATCAGTAACTCATTAAAGAACCAGTAGCAAAGAGTGGGAATAAATGGATTATTCTTCCAATAGAGAGGTATAGGAAAGCACAATTCTACAAGGATTAGTATAAGAACTTGTGCTTTTTCAAAAATGACACAGATGTGCTAAGTTTTATTTATGACACCAAGTTGCCCAGGCTGGTAAGGACAAAAAGGGATTGTGAGCAGTTCCAAAAGGATCTTGCCAATTGGAGGAATAGACATTAAACTGACAAATGCAGCTCAAAGCACTGCACATTGGAGCAAATTACTTTGGAAGTATGTGGCAGCTATGAAAAGGGTGAGTTCCATGTCACTGGGAAAACAATTAAGAATAAAACCAACAAGCTCATAATGCCAGTATACAAATCTATGGCATGATTACATTTGGAATACGCCATACAGTTCTGCTTGCTACACTTCAAAAAGAATATTGTGGGAAAAATTCAGCAAAAGGGCAATCAAAATTATAACTGAGCTGGAACAATTCCCCTAAAAGGAAGAGTTGCAACACTTGAGCCTTTTTATTTTAGAAAAACGTGTCTAGAAGGTGACAAGATAGAGGCATTTAAGATTATGCATGATGTGGAGAAAGTTGACAGAGACATGTTTTTCTCCCTTTCTCATAATACCAGAATCCATAGTCATGTTGGAAGATTCAGGAAAGGCAAAAGGAAGCATTTCTTAGATTAACTATGGAGTTTCCTACCACAAGGTTTAGTAATTGACACCAACTTGGGTGGCTTTAAAGGGCAGTTAGACAAATAAGGCTATCAATAGCTGCTAGTCCTGATGGCTGTATCCTACCTCCATATTAGAGGTGGTATTCATCTCAATACCAGTTACTAGGGAGCACAACTGTTGCACCCATGTCTCACATGCAAGCTTTTCACAGGCCTCTGGTTAGCCACTGTGAGGACAGAATGATAGCCTATATGGTTCTTTGGCTTGATCCAGAAGCTGGGCACTTCTTATATCATATAGCTCATATAGCTCATATAGAGGGGAAATGGAAAGAGCAAGGCCAAGCCCATGGACATTTTTTTCACAGGAGACTTAATGAGCCTTTTGCTTCAATAGTCTGTAATGCAAATATAAAGCCTACATTTGCCAAAATGCTCATTTACATTACAAATGCTCCTCTGAGTTCTCTTGCACAAGGATCAGTTAATAGCGACAACAAAAGCTCAAAAGCAATTTCAGCTTTACAATTGGTTCTGATCCTTTGCATCTATTTAGTCCAGATATCTTTGAAGAGGGGAGGGTACAGGATGGAAGCTTGTGATCCACCAGTCTATTAAAAATTCTATTTTCTTACTTCATTCAAGACCTAGCAATAGCTTTCATACAATACCTTTCATCTATCAGTCAGGGTGACTGTTATATATCTGGCAAAGCACTCAGTGGCTTTCCGCTTAGATCATCAGACGTCCTTTTCATTTTTATTTTAAACATCTTGTAGGCACACAACTAGAACCAGGTCAAAGGATTGGTACATCTAGCTAGTATCACCTGCTCTGATTGGTAGTGGCTCTCCAAGAACTCAGAAAGATCTCCTGCTCCTCACTTGCTAGCTCATCCTTTCCGAACTAGAGAAGCCTGGGATTGGTCCTGAGACCTTCTACATTCTACATTCAAAGCCTGTGCACCATATTATGATGAAGAGAGTTCTACGGTCTCTCCCCATGGAAATTGGAAATCTGGTAAGAAGGCAGTCTCTCAGATATTTGGGTCCTATGTCCTACTCCCAGCCCAGCTGCTGCCACAGGGGTTTCTAAAGGACCATCTTGCCATGAGAGTGGAGAAGAAGCAGTTTTGCTCATTCTAAGCAAACAGTTGCATTTCCCCTTTATTGCAACTTACAACAATAAGTGTCAATTTTGTCTTTTCAATGGGCTTTTGTGAATTGCTTTGTGAGGTTTGCCTGAAAAGTGGTATACAGTGGTACCTTGGGTTACAGACGCTTCAGGTTACATACGCTTCAGGTTACAGACTCCGCTAACCTAGAAATATTGCCTCACATTAAGAACTTTGCTTCAGGATGAGAACAGAAATCATTCAGCGGTGGTACAGCAGCAGCAGGAGGCCTCATTAGCTAAAGTGGTGCTTCAGGTTAAGAACGGTTTCAGGTTAAGAACAGACCTCCAGAATGAATTAAGTTCTTAACCCGAGATACCACTGTAAATAAATAGGGGTGGACGGCCAGTTTCCAACCGTTGAAATAGGATGTTATTATAAACAAATGTTGGTATGTGTAAGTCGTATGGCGATATAATCAACTCAGATAATACATAGCATTACCATGCAGAACTAAGAAAAAGTGTTCATTAATCTGTGCGGGGGGAAGCAGGGGACATGGAGTTGGGGGGGTTATCCCCTCCCCTTTCACCAAATTTTAAGCAACCGGACTGTGGAAATAAAAGAGTGATTAAAAGATTCTTAAGTGAATCTGAGATCGCAGCCAAATAAGGCTAATCCAAAGGGGCAATTGTGAAAAGAGAATCATAGGATATCTGCTGTCTGGTATTAACTTGCTCATCCCATGAGTGAGACCTGCTGCCTAACTGCTGTGTTGTGTTGTTTTTGACTGCTTTTATTGTATTTTCCCCATCTCCTTCAGACACATATGTGGAAGGCGATAGAGCGATTACTTAGCTTTCTGCAAGCTGGAGACAGGGAGATGCAGGCATCTGAGCCGAGTTGTAGTGTCCACACAACACACACACTGCCCCTAAATCCAGGACCAGGCTAAACATCCAAACCAAAAATTGCCAGAGTTAGCAGCCACCCATTGTTCTTTCCACTGCTGAGCTGAGTGATATTTGCAGCCTCTGGCGTTTGAAAGAAAGGCAGCACTCTGAAAGGAGCAGGAAGGCAGATATTTTTTAAAATGCCCATCCATTCTTTGTCCCCACTTGAGTGGGACCAAAAGTTGCAATAAACAACAAGGGGTGTGTGTGGGTGTGTGTGGGTGTGTGTGATCCTGCCAAACCCAGGAGGGTTTCAAATACCAGTAACAGTAGGGTAAGAATAAGCTGAAGTACAGAAATACCACAGGCTAGCTTGCACTCTGGTTGGGTGAATAAAACTGATTTGGTTGACCTTCTACATCATGGGTAGGCAAACTAAGGCCCAGGGGCCAGATCCGGCCCAATTGCCTTCTAAATCTGGCCCATGGACAGTCCCGGAATCATGTGTTTTTACATGTGTGCTTTTATTTAAAATGCATCTCTGGGTTATTTGTGAGGCATAGGAATTTGTTCATTTATTTATTTTTTCAAAATATAGTCCGGCCCCCCACAAGGTCTAAAGGACAGTGGACCGGCCCCCTGCTGAAAAAGTTTGCTGACCCCTGTTCTACATGATACCACAGCTGCTAGATAATGTAAGATATGTCCTGGAATTGGTGGAAGGGGGGGGCAAAATCAGTACTGTGACCTGTAAACAGCTACCTGTTGCTCTTCCCTCTGACTAGTTCAACTGATGATGTTGGCCAACAGGGATTTGTATGGGGAAAACCTAGACAAGAGGAAAAAGGAGTCTAACTTCACTAATCCTCAAACCACTAGGCATCACCTAGGCTTTTCCACATGTACGGGTGTGTAACCAGCCATGTAGCTAACCACTAGGCATCACCCATGCTTTTCCGCATGTAAGACTGTGTAATCAGCCGTGTAGCTGGCTGCTCGGGCACCCAGGGTGGCGGGTGCACCCTGCAGGCAGTGTGGAGCCTGCAGGCACCCAAACCACCATGTCACTCCCAGGAGAGACGCGTGGCTTGGGCACGCTGCAGGCTCCGCAATAAGTGTGGCACCCAGTGCCCTCCGTCTCCCTTAGTTCCGCCTCTGTGTGTAACACAGCCATAAAAGCATTCTCCCCTCCTGTTGATTCCAGCATTCAGAAGCATTACAGTCTCAGACCAGGAACGCAGGGCATAAGTGTCATGGCTAGTAGCCACTGATAACCTTCTCTTCCATGAATTTGTCCAATCCTCTTTTAAAGTCATCCAGGTCAGTGGCCATTGCTGCCTCCTGTGGGAGTGAGTTCCATAGTTCAACTATGTGCTGTCTGAATGTTTTCTCTTATCTATCCTGAATCTTCCAACATTCAGCTTCGCTCGATGTCCACACGTTCTAGCATTAGGAGAGAGAGTATTACTGTACTGTTCTTTTCCATGTCGTTGGGCTTCACTTTCGATCAGCCTCAACAGGATGGCCAAGGGGCAGGGATGATGGGAGCTGCTGCTGCTGTTGTTGTTATTAATATTTATTAAATTTATATCCTGCCCCTCGTTTCAAAGGTGCCTGGACTGGCAAACAACTGGCAAAGAAATAAAAACATTTTTAAAGCATGCTGTTGAAGTTCAGCAACACCTGGAATGCCACAGCCCCCCCCCCCCCAAGGGACAATTATTTTTCAAGTTTATTCTACTTAACCATTTTGACACCAGTGCAATCTACTTGCTTTGCCACAGAACGTACAGTTGCTCTTTTACCAGGAGTAAGTAACAGCTCACCACATGACCAGCCTTCACTGTTAATCCTGGCTGATGGTAGGGAGGGGCTGTTCTGGGATTCAGCCATATGGTTAAAATTGTGCGCTGTGTATTTTCCCTCCTCTTTTCTCTCTTTCTTTCCAGACATGCGAAATTACTCTGTGCAGCCATAGATGTGTCTCTCAGCTGCACCGCCTCTTGTCTTTCCTCTTCCAGATGCTGACAGGCTCCGAACCAGCGGACAGAGAGAAACAGGCTCTCCTCGTATCTGCATGGAAACTGGATGGGGGGAATGAATAGCAGAAGGGAAGAAGGAGCAAAGTTGGTTATTTTTCTGGCACATGGATGCAATTACATGGAGCACATTCCAGAGGCGTTACTTTGAATTCTGAGCAGGTCTGCCTGCCATTCCTGAGTGGAGAGAAGTAAAAAAAAGGGGGGAAGAAAAGTCTCTCTCACAGAGACGGAATGTCTGCACTTTCTATCCTGTTTCTAGGTAAGTTGGAGGTTTTTGTTTTAGTCTTTTCTAAAAGGAAAAAAAAAATCCTAATAAAAGAGGAGTTGCAACCATAACAGTAACTAGCAAGGGAGGGGCTCTTGGAAAAATAAGTTACTTTTTATGATTTAAAGCGGGGGATTGGCATCGAAGTTTGTTGAGCATGGAGATCATCTGCTTTCAATTTCTTGGCATTTTTATTATTTTTATGGAGAACAAAAATAGGGGGGGGCAGTAAAAATTCAATACCCATATCGGAATGAATAGAGTTTAAAGCATGAGGCTCTCTTCTCCTAAAGGTGTGGGTTGCTGTTGTTTTACACAAAAAGCTGTTGAAGCTGTTTAATATTAAATACTTCTCTTGGAGAAATCTTAAATGCTGCCTGCAGAGCTCACACACACACAAAAATGCTGAGGTTTTTAGGATACAAAGCCATAGACAACTTTGCCATCCACACATTTGAACAACAAAGCATTGTTTCAAGATCAGTGGCCAATCTGCTCACTTTTGTGTATGTCGTTCTGCTCAGAAATTTATTTCTGATATTTTAAAGGAGCCCATTGTTTCCTACTGATACCATAGACAGCCCCAAATTAGAAACAGATGTGTTAAAAGTACATGGGAGGGAGGTGAAGAAGGGAGAAAGAGGGAGCGGGGATGCAGGGGAGAAGAAAAGATAGACAAACTGAAGCCAACAAAAGAGAGAAAATAAGAATGGACTGAAGACAAATATAGGGGAAATCAAAGGGGAAAGGAAACAACAGAAAGACAGTGGAAGAAAAGGAAAGTAATTTAACACATTACAGAGAGGAGAATCAGGTTTGCCACAGAGTCAACAGGGAACAGCAGCTAATAATGGCTTGCTGATGAGTGTACCTGTAAGATTCAAATTTTCCCAAATGTGTTGCTTACACCTTCACGCTTTCCATTTTTAGCTGCATAACTAAATTATATCTGGCATTTCAGCTGACTTTAAGCTACCTTGGGAAACCATTTATTTAAGTAGAGGGAGCTTATCCACTTACCTGGGAGTAAGCCCCACCAAACTCAATGGGACTTTCCTCTGAGCAGACATGAACAGAATTACATGGTTATGCATGTTCTTAAATCTCTTCTGTTGAAATCAATGGGACCTCTAAGTGTTTAACTTGTGCTGGATTGTGTCCAGTGTGCGAAAGGACCAGAAAGGCAGGGATAGAAATCCAGAGGAACCAGTGAAGCACGGAAAATTATTCAAAAGTCTATTTAAAATGCCTTTTTATAATACATGTTATCACCTTCAGCAACTTATACTACAACAAAAGGTTGATAATTATTTGCCGTAGATGGCAAAAAACAACAACAACCCCAAAAAGCTGCTGGCTGTTGTGTCATCTTCATAGCAGGCAAACTAAGTTAGTACCGATACGTCCCATATAAAAGACATTCTCTGTAAAATGGAGGAGGTAAAAAGATGGAGGAAATGATTAAGAAAGGCAGGCTTGAGTAAAATGAGACGAAGGCTGGCCTCCCTTGTGACTGAGTCAGCGGCAGCCTCCTTCTCCACCTCTCCAGAGACATCACAGTGTGGAGAACAAGCTTTCCCCTCAATTCCACTTTCCACATTGGATTGACAAGCAGGCAGCTCTGTGAAAAATCCCGTATCAGCGCATCGCAAAGGGCTGCTATGCCTTCATCCCTCCTCACCAGTCTGGAAGACCCAGAGTAGATTCAGAGACTCCTCCTCTCTTAGGAAAGCTGATGGACATCAGAAAATAGCAAGAGCTTGCTGGATCAAGCCAAAGGCCCATCTAATCCAGGATCCTTTCAGAGTGGCCACCCAGATGCCTGTGCGACGGTGACAACTCAAGCACAAGAGCAACCTCCTCCCCATGGTTTTCCAGTAACTAGTATTCAGAAGCATTAGCACCCAGAGAGGGTACTGAGGGTGGAAACATGAGGAAGGATGGAGTACAAGGTTTTGCCAGCTGATGCTTCTAAGGGTGTGAATCAATGAACCCTGGATTATCAGCAAGAGCTGGGTGAGGCGTAAACATGAATGACCTATTCAAATTCTTGTCTCCTACCAGCTGTCGCATCCTGCAGTCTGTGTAAAAGTTCCCATCTCTTGACCAACTCCAAGCTTTTGGGTCTCCCACAGGAAGTGGGATGTTGCAGTGATGTTGCAAAATGTCCACAGTGGATGGGCAAGTGGCAGCATGTGCCCTCTCTCATTAGCCTTGGTGCCAAGTCCCAATACAGAGTAGGTTGGGAACGGGAATATCTCACATTTCCCAACTTTCTGGGCACATCAGACTTAATCAGAAGACTGGCAACCAATAGCTTGCGCTTGCTTTAGCCCCAACATGGCACAAACTTTTTTTTTGCCAAAATCTACAACAATTCAAAGGCAGCTTACTTGCAGGAAATGTGATATGCACTGATGGAATACAATGGGAACAAATTAAGTACAAATGGGTAAAAACTGCTTTATGACCCACCCAAAAGACTAATGGAGACACTCCATATTAAGGTTGCTGGGTTCAGGCTCTGTTTGCAGGATACAATTTGGCCCGCTGCTGTGGGAAGGAGGATGCTGGAGTAAATGGGTTTTTGGCATGATCCATCCAACAGAGCTCGTAATATGAGGTTTCTTCTGCACGCAGTGTTTGTCCCCTAGTTTTCACATTTTGTGGCCATTTGAATGGAATCGCAATACCGGGGAGTTTCCCCCCTCCTCTGGGATAATATCGGGGATTTGTAACCATTCTATGCCCAATAATGGATAAACTGAGCAATGACCAGCCCTCAAGATGGAAGGCCAGTTCACTAGCAGGAACACAAGCAGAGTATGAAGAGCTGTAGTTCTGTTCATATACGTATCTCAAAGGCAAGAGGATGGAAATTACAACAGGATAGCACAACGTATAAATTTGTGGGCAAATATTACCAGAAATGCAAATTTTCCATACATTCACTTTTAGCACAGCACACGCCCATCCTCATATTTCTGTGCAACCATTTAACTATGCCCATGTTGCTCCTGCTGAAGAAATTTAAGCTTGCATTTCATTTCCACTTTGTGCAAGGGTAAAGGCTATAGCCAAATTGTCCATTTCTTTGGTAGAAAAGAATGCCTTTTAAGACGTACATTTTCATGTGTAATGTGCAGTTGGGCAAAGTAACAAAAATAAAGCAGTTCCAAGAGCTGTACTGCGCTACTATTCTGAAAATGCTGCAGGAGACTTCAATGTGCAAGTTCTGTCCCATACTAGTAAAAGTTAGAAGATGATAAGTCAACACACTCAACATGGTCCTACATGTACAAAATTTGCAGAAGTTAGGGGTCCCAATATCCAGTAGTGTTGGCACAAAATGAAGTTCCAATTTTTTCAGTCCCTATTATTATTATTACTAACAACAATGGGTCATAGCCAAACGAAGAGTTTCACAGGGACTAGGACTTTAGCTGCGCAATGGCATTTCCCTGCCCCCTATTCTCCCTGTGTGCCACTGTGCCCTCAGTAAATCTGCTCCAGACATTAGGGTACCGCAAACTCCTGCAGATTTAAGGAGGCAGGGCAGATCACATCCATAGAGGAGAGGGCAGGGTACCCGTAGAGAGTACAGAGCAGGCATAGGCAAACTCCTGCCCTCCAGATGTTTGGGACTACAATTCCCATCATCCCTAGCTAACAGGACCAGTGGTCAGGGATGATGGGAATTGTAGTGCCAAACATCTGGAGGGCCGGAGTTTGCCTATGCCTCGTACAGAGGATGGAAGTATGAAGAATGATAGAGGACAAAAAATTGGTAGCTGATAATAGTTCTTGCAGTAGAGAAACTGTTTCGTTTGATACCACCCAGCATTTTCAAGACACTTCCAAGCTGAAGTTCTCAAAGCACCTCCTTGTTTTCTTTAGATTCTGGTATGCTGAACGAGTCTTATGAATGCTCCAATGCATACCTAGATCTGGGCATAAAGATACCCTGGAGCTGTAAGGTCTGAAACAGGGCGTCACTGATTATATTTGGCATGTTTGATAATCTGGCCCATTATACAAATCTGCATAACTTATTCCAGTCACAGGAGATGTCTTTTCTGGCTGTAGAACTTGGACTTACATAGCACAATCCCACACAGAGACATACACACATTGCATTGTTAATTTCCCATGTTCCATCAATCTAGTAATGTATATAACAAGCTAAAATCAGCTATTCGTGGGGGCGTGGAATAAGGCTGTTTTATTCACTGATGTTTCCTTGTGCATTCATTTGTTTACACAGCTAATGGATTAGGGCTTGCTCTATAGCCAGCAGTATATGCTTGTAGCCATTTGAGGACAGGCATGTAGCTTTATTAGGTTTTGTAAAACAAAGCATGGTCAGATAAGATGAGGGGTGGGGTTTTTTTACAAGAGACTTGTGGAAAAAGGAATCCTAAATCCTACAAGCAATAGTGAGAACCAGATTCCCTTGCCCTCAGTGCTGAAGCTGCTAAGCAATGCTCCTGCAGGGTATATCCTACACATGGCATTTCAAATGAAGGTGTTAATTGGATTATCTGTGGTGGAAGATTTGCTGGCACTTGCTATATTCTATCATCATCAATGGCAGTTGGATTAGTAATATATTCCAGATGGAGGGGGTGTGTGAGAAAGAGGGGAAAAAAAGCATAGCACTCTGGGCTACAGAAAGATTTCATTTATCCCTATTTAGGGCTTTTATTTATTTGTTTGTTTGCAGTCATATCTCATCCTTTTCTCCAAGAAGCTCAAGGTGGTATACATAGGCCTCCCTCTCCACATTTAATCACCACAACAAGCATGCAATGTAAATTAGACTGAGAGGCAGTGACAGTCATGGAGTGAGCTTCGTGGCCAAGTGGTGATTCGAACCCTAGCCGCCCACATCCTGGTTCAAAACTCTAATTGCTACACAACACTGACTCTAAGTGTGCTAAGTTGGAAAGAGGCCCACTTACAGACCCCATTTATATAGCAGTTTAGAGGTGCAAATCCAAAAAGTCACTCTTAGAAGCCATCGTTAATGGGACACTCAAAAAGATAGGACATTGTGCTTCACACTTAAGGTGATATAGCCCATGACAGGATCTCGAAAGGTCTAATTTGGAGGCTGTTTCAACAAACGACTCTTTTTCGGTTTTGGTTTTCCCCCAGTCTCTGTAAATCGGGTCAAAGCGCTACATCGACTAGGAAGTATATTTGATTTCTAAACAGGTTCTCTTGCACTTTTTTTTACAGTGCATAAACACCACCCATCCATTATTCATCTTAAACTAAGAAGTGTTCTTGGTGCCGTTTGTGGAAGTGTCCCTATCTTTCACCTTCCCCTCAGGGCTTTGTAAACTGGCAATCTCTTCTCACATCTTGTGTTAAGTCCCAGGTACTATTATTATATATGCATAGTGTATGCATGTCTATGACATCCCTGATTCCAATTGGGTCTCTGGATCAAGCACAAATTTAAAAAAAGGAAAAGAAAAGAAAGCTCAATTCCTTCCCCAGGCTGTTTCCTAGGACAAGCATCAGGAGAGCAGGGCGGCGCTCCTCCATTCTGTACATATTTATGAGACATGCACTGGATGCTTTGTACAGTTGAGTCTGCCGAGTATTTTTTTTTTTTAAAAAAAAGAGCCTTGATAAAAATTTTAAGGGCTATGGAAATGTTTAATATAGAACTGAACTCTCCTTCAGAGCAAAGAAGCAGAGGAACACCAGGAAGTATTGAACAGAGCTTTGAGAAACCAAGCAGAAATGTATAGCCAAGAACATTTTCCTCTCCAACCCATTCAAGCTGCAGTTTATTTTTATTTTTTTTAAAAATTGATTAATTAATTAAAATTACAGGGCTTTCAACCTTGAAGGCAAATCACTTTGTGACTTCATTGTTTAAATTTAGGTTCTGTTTTGTGGGGGATTGTTAGACTTCAAGCAAAAGCCTCAGAGCACAGGGGCTGTCACTTCCGATTACTTCCAGTGCCACTTCCAATTATTTCCAATCACCATTCTTGAGACAGGAGGGAAATTGAGCCAGATTCTTCATCATCATGCTTCCCGCCCAACCCACCTCCTGAACAAAAGGACAATTTACCAAAGTGCTGCCAAGATGGACCAAAGGGGGGTATTGGGGGTAGATTCCGTTGTGGGGTCTACCTGAAATAACCCACAGCAAATTCCACCAAGGCAGACTGAACCAAACAGGAACTGTGATCAAAGTGTTGTAGACTTTGGAGTCTTTTGTATGAAATAAGCCATGGGTAGGCAAACTAAGGCCCAGGGGCTGGATCCAGCCCAATCACCTTCTAAATCTGGCCCGCGGACGGTCCGGGAATCAGCGTGTTTTTACATGAGTAGAATGTGCAGTTTTATTTAAAATGCATCTCTGGGTTATTTGTGGGGCCTGCCTGTTGTTTTTACATGTGTACAATGTGTGCTTTTATTTAAAATGCATCTCTAGGTTATTTGTGGGGCATAGGAATGCTTTCATTTTTTCCCTTCAAAATATAGTCTGGCCCCACTCAAGGTCTAAGGGACAGTGGACTGGCCCCCTGCTGAAAAAGTTTGCTGACCCCTGAAATAAGCTCTCAACTGAAATCTGAACAATATTTCGGTGCTAGCAAATTTGAACTCCCCTTTCAACAAAATGATCAGTTTTTGTGTGTGTCACCATGTACTCCATTAGAAAACGGTGATGTATAGTTAATAAGCTGTGGCTATCTTGAAAATTAAGATTGGCTCAGGGGTCGGCAACCCGCGGCTCCAGAGCCGCATGTGGCTCTTTTACACCTTTGCCGTGGCTCCGGGGCGGATACTAGCGAGGGGAGGAGGCGCATTGTGCGCCCCGACACTCCCCACTGTGGCGGGCACTGTACTGGCTGTGACGTCACATGGGGGCAGTGTGTGCGTTAGTCACGCACCATCCCGACGTCACCTTCCCGCCCGCTGTCAGATCGCGGTTCCGGAGATGTATTTGTTTTAAATGTCGCAATGGTTTTGCGGCTCCCAGTTGTTGTTTTTCTTCGGAAACGGGTCCAAGTGGCTCTTTTTGTCTTAAAGGTTGCAGACCCCTGGATTGGCTGCTTATTTGTGCGTTTTAACAGCTCACACTACATGAGCAATGAACTCATGTGATACTGTAGCAGCAATTTGCTTCGTTTTCACTCCCCCGCGCCCATGACACTAGGACCATTTCAGTAAGTAACAATATAATTTGGTTTCTATGAGGGGTTTTTATATCTTCTTACTACGATGTGGGAATCAGCTCTCAGTGTCTCAGGACAAGTAATCCACCAGTGGACTACTGGCCTGGGAAAATTACAATGGAGCGTTAGTCAGTTTCCAGTGGACCAACTACTGTGTGCTGGTTTCTGGGATTATCCAAACAGTGCTAGACTGGGTGGGCCTTATTCTGGTATTCTTCAGGAAGTGTGTATGCTGAGAGTGTATAATCACTTAAAGCTGAAGGCATAACAAATATATGTTAAGAATCCTGTGTAGGATCCTCTGTAAATTAAACAAGACTGGTGAACAACATCAACCAACCAACCAAGGCTGAAGTAAGCAAGGGCCCCCTTCAACAGATGCACTCAGATGTCCTTCATAAGACTGGGGCACAGCTAGTGTTGGAACAGTTTTCACAATACCAGAAAGTAGAACTACTTCAAAAGCAGCTTAGGGGAGATTAAAATCAGTTAAGAGGAGATCATAGCCACGGCTTGCAAATTTCATTAATTTTAATCTCTTCAACCATAAAAGGAACAATAACTGTGACTTGGCTCCTGACGCTCTTAGGTGCTGCATCAGGTTGTGTCTGAAGCAAGCTGAAACCTGTCAGAAGAGCTGGAGATGAGAATTCGTGAACAGGGAATTCAAAGATACAAACTGAAGGAACAACACTAGAACTCTGGCCTATTTCTCAGCTCTCTCCCTATACCCAAACTTTTCTTGTTTCTAAAAAGCATCAAATTAATCAAAACAGGTGGGAGGATTGTACCCCTTGTTTCAGTTTTAGGCCTGATTCTGCATCCTATGAACCTTTCTCATATGGTATAAATAGTATATGAGACATGTTGATAGGTTTTTCTTAGTTCAGGGTGTGAAAATGCCCTTTGTGGTGTGTACCAAATAAACCAGAAAAGGCTGCTCACTGGATAGTGGCTGACGGGTTAAGCAAAGTTCAGTCTTGATTTCTGTGGAGTAAAGTTTCCAGAGGAACTCACTCCTTGCCTTTTGAGTGGCTGATCCATAAATCCGTATGTCACAAATTCAACAAAGGAATCCATTGAAAACAGCTGTTTTGCCTATCTTGACTCATAAACTATAATTTGTGAACATCCAAAGAAGCTGAGTGTTGGAAGATTTCAGGACAGTTGAAGGAAATGACTTCTTCACACAGCTCATAGTTAAACTATGCAGCTCACTCCCACAGGAGGCAGTGATGGCCAATAACTTGGATGGCCTTAAAAGTTGTTGTTGGCATCTTGAGAGACAATGGAGTGTGCCTCCAGGGGTGAAGTCAAACCGCTGCAGTGCTGAAATGATCTTCCCAGGGCACAAGCCTGAGCAGTATGTATGGAGGTCCTGGGCTGCCCATAGGGCAAGACACACACACCCCAGGCTCGCTGATGTGGTTCAAGGAAAGCGAAACAATACGTTTAGCACCAGCTTGGCTGCAGGAATTGCCAGGGGGAGGTATACTAGGCACCATCCAACTGTCTTAGGGACTCCACTCCAGAATTGTGTAGGATTTACTCTTTAGCCTTTCTTCTCCCAAAGAGAAGAAGTGAAGTTTTCCTTCTCCGCGATGGGCTACTTTCTCAGGTTCACGAGCCCCATCTGTCCCTCACTTCCCTCTATACCACGTGCAGAAACCTCCTTCTTGACCATTGGACCCACTATTGGTCTCATCCACTCAATCCGCCAGAGCCTGTCTTCGCATGCAGGGGAAGTCCCTAACTCACTGAGGGTTTGAGACCCAGCAGCAACCCTCACTTGGTTTCGCCAGCCAGTCGAAGCCGTTCCTGGGGTGTGCTGACAGCTTCTAGGAGCCATAGGTGAGAGCTGAGTGCAGGGTCAAGACCAAAGGTGGACAAACTACACAATATTGGTCAGAGTCTTATGTTTTGCAGGTGGCTTACCATTATCAAACAAACCAAGCCATTATCAACCCACCCCCAACGAGCTATCACCAGGCTGGCTTCACGAGGAAACTAACTGGTGTTATTTCTAGCCATTACTAAATTCTTGAAATTATGAGTTTGCTCAGATTCTAACCTTTTACTGAATCTAGAGGTTTGGGGGGCCTTGCCTCCCTGAACCTTCTAAGAATATATACTTGTTTGAATGGAATTCATCAGATTTGTTAATATAAGACTTTGGGTGGCAAAATGGATTATATTGAAACATTATACAGTGGTATCTCGGGTTAAGAACTTAATTTGTTCTGGAGGTCCATTCTTAACTTGAAACTGTTCTTAACCTGAGGTACCAATTTAGCTAATGGGGCTTCCTGCTGCCGCCACGCGATTTCTGTTCTCATCCTGAAGCAAAGTTCTTAACCCGAGGTACTATTTTGGGGTTACTGGAGTCTGTAACCTGAAGTGTCTGTAACCTGAAGCGTATGTAAACTGAGGTACCACTGTATAAGATATTAGATTGCTGAATTAAAACTTTTTAAAAAGCTTATACTATTTATCATATAGCTACAGCATTATTTGTGGAAGATGGATCATGGAACTGCTGAGTGCAAGAGGCACAGAATGTTCAAATCAGGTCCCAAGTGCACTTTCAAAAGTGAAAGAAGGAACATATTTTAGCCTATAATAGGTCACCTCCAAATGCTATTAATGCAATAGGAAAAGAGCTTTTTTAAAAAGTATACCTTTTGTTCAGTGTCCTTATGCGACTCTTTAATTACATGTTAATATGTTGAAAATTCAAACATCAGTTTTAGAATCACATTTTAAAATACCCCCAAAACTCCATCTAAGGTCATCTAATTTCAATGTATTATAGACTAGGCTCTTATTTTTGTTAAACACGTGTATGGTTGGGGGGGGGAGAGAGAGAGAAAATAAGCTTCAGCCTCCCCAATGCTTTCATTGCTGTTGCTTCTAATTTATTATTATTTTTAAAATTAGGTGTGGTACTGATACCTTGGCAGAAGTGCTGCAGGCGTCAGCACAAAATGGCTGCTAGGGGCAGAAAAAAAGAGGTGACAGTACTCAGAACAGTACTGGCGAATACTATCACAAGAAAAAGTACTGAGCCTCTGAAAGCCAGTTTCCCCATCAGTGACCTGAACTTCAATGAAACATAGGATAGCAGCAGCATGCCCAGGGCATTAGTAAGAACAAAGAGTCTTGTGACATCTAAGACTAACAGATTTATTTTGACATAAGCTTTTGTGGAGTATAGCCCACTTCATCAGATGCATCTGATAAAAATCGACTCTTGTGCATGAAAGCTAACGCCACAATAAATTTGCTAGTCTTTAAGGTGCTGCAAGATTCTTTGTTATTACAGATGCTTTTTAACTAGATTTGCAGCAATCACAGAGAGTTCAAAGGAGGTTCCAAGCGTAAAAAGAGAAGCCCATTACATGAGGTGGTACAGAAAATACTAGTCGTGGAAACACAATGACAGAGTATGAGAAAGTTTGAGGATTCCAAGGTCATTTGCTTTGAAGCTAATGATCCTGTAATACACAGTAATACACTAATTACTTTAACTCATTCTCCAGTTTAGCAATGCCCTGGGCATGCTGCTGCAATTCTAGGCTAGTGAATGCACATCCATTAGTAAATGAACCTACTGAAAGAAACAGGGTGCATCAATTTCTTGGTTTTTCATGGTTCCCCCCACCATGCTATTGTAGCTTCCTTTTTTAACCGTATGTGGAGAATAGACTAAAAAAAACCCTATCATTATAGATATAGGTGTAGCAGTGCCAGAAAGAAAACATCATTGGACACTATCTGCACTGGTAATTCACAACACAGAGACAAGAAACAGGTTAGCTGCATTTTTAAATGATTATTTAATAGGCTTGTTAAGTCATCTTTGAACCTGAAGTATTTTCTCAATGTCACATTGTCGGATAAAATCAGCTGAAAAGATGCACAATAAAAACGGCACACCTCGATTAGCAGGGACAATAAAGCCAAATCTATTTCAGCAAGCCATCCAGCTGAAACTAAAATAGGCTACTGCACCCACAATCAAAAGCAGTCTGAAAGAAATAATGTTGTTAGGATCTGCCTGAAAGACAAAGGGTATTGCACATTTCCCAAGAATGGGACCACCACTGAAAAGGTCCTGTCTCTCACACCTGCCAACCTAACCTAACCCTTCCTGGATGGTACCTGGCCATCCTTAAAGCATTTCCTTGCCCAGAATGACATTATGTTGGATCTCACATTTACTGCAGTGCATTGAAGGTGGGGTACCCACACAGTTTGTCTGGAGGCTGCCACTAATGCAGAATATGGCACCTAGGCTGCTTGTGAGGCAAACTACGGCCAGTTTATAACACCCCTTGACTGTGTAATCTGCACTGGCGTTTAAGGTTTAGGGAATCAGGAGGCTGCCTTACCCTCTCTTCACGCAGTAGGTCATTGTGTTGTTCAGGAGAATCTCTCCTTGCAGTTCTAAAATATTAGACGTCTGATCCAAAACAATTCAGAGCAGGACTTTGAGCATGGCTGTTCCTGTTTTGTGAAACAGCATTCCAGTGTGGGCACCTAACAATGGACAACATTCTTAGCTTCATTAAGTACAAACCCCAAAGTGCCAAAGATTTTGTAGGGTTTTGTGATGCAAACTCTTCATTTTGTTGCCCCCCACCACCAAGCTGAGTAATTCATACTAACCAGGAGTGATAGGTATCACCCATAAATCCAACCCTGTCTGATTCACGCCAAACTGGTGCCAAAGTTTTGTAGTAGTTTTCTAGGGTTTGTAGCACAAACCCCACATTTTTAGTGCCCCCCAAACTGAGCAACTGATTTTCAAACACTGTGCACTGCCACCCAGAACCTAAGAAGGAACATATTTTAGCACTGCCACCCAGAACCTAAACACTTATATTGATCTAAATTGCAATGAAATCCCAGTGATTTCATTGCAATTTAGATCAATATAAGTATACTAGCACAGCACAATCCATAGCAAGTCTACTCAGTAGTAAATTGCTGCAGGGTTGCAGTCTTTATAAACATGTTTACCCGTAAGTAAATCCAATGTGAAATCAACCGGATCTAGTCTATAATTTTAGGTTTGCTGTTTTAATCTGGTCTAGAAGTAGTGACTAATTAATGGAGTATAATTAATTGTGCAGTATTCGTAAGAAAACAAAAAACACAAAAAATACCATTGGCAAGGGGTTCTCAATTCTAACTGAATAAGAACAGCCTATCCCAACTGTGTTGAATTTTTAAGATTAACCAGTTCAGGCTCCACTCCTGTACATACTTATCAGGAAGTAATCCCCATGGGATTCAGCTGACTTACTTCTAAGTAATGTATTTTCACACAATTATCCAGAGCTGACCAGAGATATTTTACTGCACAAGGAGGGGTGACCAGTGACCCCACACCCACATCCCAAATCAAGGTGCATGATAGCCAAGGCTGGCCAGTTTCTTCTAGCACCTGAGTCAGAAAACCCAAAAAGCGCCTCTCCTGCTCCTTGTCCATAAAAAATACCATAATAATAAATAAAAATATTTTGCAACTTGCTGCCCCTTTCATATAATCCAAAGTCAGCAACCTGAGGCAGCCATCCAATTTGAATTGGACAATGTTGGATTTCTGGGTGATACCTGGGCTATGACCCCCAGGTAGAATATCAATTACACAGTTGGGGGGGATGCTACAAAATACGGGTTCACACTACAAAACCCTACAAAATGACTACAAAGCTTTGGAGGTGATCCAAAATTCCAGAGTTCATAGTTAATAAAGCTGACATTCTTTAAGTCTCTGCCTTGGGTGTTTATTTGTACTGTTTCACCCAACCTTTAACTGTTTTTTTTGTTTTGTTTTATGGTTGTCAATTGCCTTGGAATTTATATGAAAGGGATGGGGTGTGGGTGGTGTATAAGCGATCATACAGAATTGCAAATCATCAACAGTTATTAAACTCATCAGTAAAGACAGCCATCAAACTGCCATCTTTCCAGCACCAAAATGAGAGGGGAACAGCATTTCCATGGACTGTTCATTTCTAAGCCTTTTCTTATGTCCTAACCTGACCCGCACAAAACAGCAGAAAATGAGGCACCGGGTTCCTATTTAATCATGCACTTCCCTGTCAAGAGCTGGAACTGTATGCAGACCAATAGCACAATAGTCAGCAGGGAGTGGCACCAGAACTTCTGGAATTAACGTAATTTATTCTTCATTCCTGTGAACTTGGAATAATTTGTGCATTTGACTTGGCACAGCAATGGTGTCCCTAGTAATTTTGCAAAAATATACTTTCCAGGCCTAACCTGCTTGTGATTTATTTGCTCCTCCATCCCCCACAGCAGCCCCCTCCCACTCACATTTGCAAGAATATTAATGCTTTTTTTCCAACTGAAATAAGCTAACTGAAGCTGCATTAATGGTCTCCTTTCCCTCGCTGGATAATCCTCCCATGGAAAAATTCTGATAGGAGACAAATGTAAGAGAAAGAGGGTTGATAACATTCATGCATGAGGAAGGATTTATTTAAGTGGCCCGTTAAATAAATTACTTGAGATGCCAATATAGTCTGTCTTCTCTAATGGCAAGGCAAACAAGAGACTCAACTGTTCCCAAAGCTATTCAGGTTGTCTATTAAAGGCACAGGAGCCTTCCTCAATAGGAAATATTGCAGTGGTGATCTCCTCCCATACTGCAGATCCAAGAAAAAGTGTTGGGTTTGCACCCCCTAGCTGAAGGTACTTTGATATAGTGGCATCATTGTCCACAGTGAACACATTCCAGTTTGTTCAATTTGGGGGGACGGGGTTGTCTTGCTACAAAATCCCACAAAACCTGTTTGACCAGAGAAAAGACCAGAGGGAAAGAATTGGGGAGGGGGGAGATACACCCAGAATGCCAAGCAGCCTAAATTCTCTTTTGTATAATTGTAATCTCCAACTGAACCAATTACTTGTTCACTAACTTTTAGGAACTATATAAAAAAATTCCTTCAAGTAGCACCTTAGAGAACAACTAAGTTTGTTATTGGTATGAGCTTTCGTGTGCATGCACACTTCTTCAGATTTATGAACTATAGTGAGTGAATATCCTGCAGTGCTATTATTATTTTATTGCAGGTTATTATTATTATTATTCTGCCCTTCTTCCAAGTTGCTAGGATGGAAGACAAAACTCTCTCTTCCCCATTTCAAACTTGCAATAATCCTGTGATATAAGGTGAGGCTGAGACAGAATGAGCCCAAGTTTACCAATGAGCTTCATGACTGAATGAGGATTTAAACCTAGATAAGAAATGCCTGCTAGAATATGGATCAGGCCAATGACCCATCTAGTCTAGCATCCTGTTCTCACAGTAGCCAACTCGGTGTCCTATTGTGAAACCCTTGAGCAGGACCCAAGCACAAAAGCATCCCCCACTTCTGTAGTTTCCAGCAACTGGCATTCAGAAGCATTACTGCCTTTGACCGTGGGGCAGAGCATAGCCATCATAGCTATTCGCCATCGGTAGCCCTCTCCTCCATGAATTTGTCTAACATATTTTACAACCATCAGGGTTGGTGGCCATCACTGCCTCATGTGGGAATGAGGTCCATAATGAGATTAACTATGTGCTGCGTGAAGTACTTTGTCTGTCCTGAATCTTCCAAGATTCATCTTCACTGAATGTCCACAGGCTGTAGCATTATGAGGGAGGAAAAAACCTCTATCCGCTTTGACCATGCAATGAATAATTTTATAATGCTATCCCCAAGGAGGTTCAGCAGGCACCTTCATTATACACCTTTAGGCACCAGGCAAAATGTTCCTCTTCAACCAGGCCTTTGACAGATTGACACCTGATGCCCTTCAGCAAAGTTGCTCCACCCCCTGCTCCTATTTCAATACTTTAACTACTAAGCAACTCAAGGGGTCAGATATAGCAAGCCATAAGCCCCCACTCTGTCCAACCTAGCCTTTAACTTCAGTATGCACCCAGTAGAAATCCACACATGGTTACCATAGTGCCATAATTCTGTGCCAAATGAGAGAGCTGCGCGTCCCTCAGATGCAAAATCTGGCTTTATCATTGCCATTTGATGGGGTGGGAACAAGAGAGGAGTGATATTGGGGAGGAGGACAAATGCCAGCCTATTTGGGAACAGAGATCTCTTCCAGAAATGTAGGGGGGGTGCATCCCCCTGCCCTTTTTTCAGTATATTCTCTTGTGGCGTTCCATCCTAGAAAATATCCCTGCTTAAAGGCAGAATATTCCCTTCAAATGTCTATTTCCAGATTCCAGCTGCATCACGTAACTAAGAAGGATCTGCCCACATCTGGAAAAGCCTGGCATGCAATTATCTCTAGAGGATTAATATCAAGCTATAGGAATTTGCAGTATGGCTATGCAAGTGTGGTGGGGTGGGGTGGTGAGGTGGTGAGTGGTGTGTGTGTGTGTGTGTGTGTGTGTGTAAAGAGACAGATCCTTTTGCTTCCCAATTGATGGCATATAAGAAATAATCATGAACAAGAACTAGTTCTTCTTCCAGAAAACCATGCCTCTTTCTACATAACATCACAATGCCATCTTTTGATGACATGTAGGAAGCCCTAAGGAGGTTCTTGAACTGAAGGAGAATGTTCTACCTAATTTGCCTTCTACAATACCACTTATAAGGGTTTATTGGAGTTTTATGCTCTTATTTCCCAGTAGATAAATTAGGGCAAGAGTAATATAACTGCAATGTAACAAGTTTACACTTCCTAGCACTAACCAGGGCTACCAATTTACATCTTCCTCTAAATTATCTCCCCAAATTAGCACATTTTATGCATGTGGGCTTTGAAGTAAAAATGAATTTAACGTTTAGTGCTACTTGGCCTTCTCATCGAGTGTGCAACTTAGTGAACATTTCAGACCTGATACAATTACTTTTTTAAAGTGCCTTAAACTCTGCCTATGATGTTAAACACAACAAATGTTCCTAATGGGTTTATTCCCCTGCAATTTGAAACTGATTGTAAAAAGTTTCTCTCTACACCCACACTTAAATCTCTTTGCTCCCCCAAAACTTGAAATGATGCTCCTACAATCACTTCTTCATTTCCACCATTTGTAAAAATTTTATGTGGCAAATATTATGTAGCAAAGAATCTTCTGTTCATATGTGCTGAAATCCACATCCAAACTGAGAACTAACAGAAGGCTTTCAGTCAATACTTGGAAATACTTCCAAAGTGGCCAAGTTCAGCTGAACCATAAAAACAATAAATTTACATTAGTTGCATGCTCTGCATGCTGAAAGGAGAGCCCTCCCTGTTGCTTTAAATCACTCTCGGTTTTATTTTTCTGTGTCATCACTGCCAGTGCCTATAAGCCTCAACTAAAAGAGGCCATCCTACCCTAGCAAGTTGGGGGGGGGGTTGAAAGTGAGGAATCCCCTTCAGCAAGGATGTGGCAAGCAGACTCATCTGTTTATATGAGGGACAAAGTGATGGATGGAGGGGGAAAATCCTGGGATAAGATGCAAAAAAAAATCAGGTCCACCAACTCAGGATGCTGTGGTCATTGCCGCATACCACTGTCATCGCTACATAAACTGCATAACATGACAAACATCCTCCACTGAACACACAACAGCTCTGGAATGCCTTGTGTTATCGAAATATGGGAATCTTAGATACCAGTACTGCCTTGATTTCATCTGCGACACAGGTACTGTTATAGGACGAGACCAGCAAACAAATCTAGATCCTAATGTACAGTTTTATAAACAATTTGGATGAAAGTATTGAGGCGATGCTCATCAAATTTGCATATGACACCAAACTGGGAGGGGTAGCCAATGCCACTGAAAACAGAATTGAGATTCAAGATAAGCGTAACAGATTCAAGTACTGGGCCAAATCTAACAAAATGAATTTCAATAGGGACAAATGTTAGTTTTGGCCCAGTACCAGAATAGCCTAGAATAGCATTAGCTTTTTTTTTGCTGCTGCACCATACTGTGGATTTATGTGAAGTTTGTGGTCTATTAAGACCCCCTAGACCCTTTTTACATGTACTACTGGTAATGAAGATGATAAAGGGCCTAAAACAGGCATCCCCAACTTTCGGCCCTCCAGATGTTTTGGACTACAATTCCCATCATCCCTGACTACTGGTCCTGTTAGCTAGGGATCATGGGAGTTGTAGGCCAAAACATCTGGAGGACCGCAGGTGGGGGATGCCTGGCCTGAAAACTAAGCCTTATGAGGAACGATTGAGGGAAATGGGTATGTTTAGCCTGATTAAGAGGAGACTGAGAAGAGATATGATAGCCATCTTCAAATATCTAATGGGCTGTCACATGCAGGATGGAGCAAGCTTGTTTTCTCCAGCTCCGGACGCTAGGAACCAACCAATGGATTCAAGTTACAAGAAATGATATTCAGACTAAACATCAGGAATAACTTTCTGACAGTAAAAGCTGTTCAACAGTGGAACAGGTCTCCACCAGAGGTGGCAGACTCTCCTTCACTGGAGGTTTCTAAAGCAGAGGCTGGTCATCTGTCATGGATGATCTAGTTAAGATTCCTGCATTGTGGTGGCTTGAACTAGATGAGCCCTGGTGTCATTCCAACTCCACAATTCTATGATTCTATTATTATTTTCCTGCTTCAAAAGCTTACTCAGTGAGCATTCATTTCTAACCACTCCTGTGTTACGGTATAACTCCTGTAAACAGGAAGGAAATTGTTACCATGTATTATAAGCATTTGCTTTTGATGATCTTCGTGCTTAGTGTGCACTGAGACAATCCATACCTAATAATGTAAGAACTGGTGTCAATTCTAAATGCAACATGATGTGTTTGTAGAACAATCTGCAAAGGAGCAACAGTTATATTAAGTGTGCAATACAATGTTCCATGAAATGTAGTTTTGTCATTAACAGTAAGAAAACTTCTTTTGAAAAAAGTAAGAGCTCAATGGAATGTATTCAGCGACCTTTTACTCAGTGTAGAGAGAGCCATTGGAATTCATCATGGTCATTTATTTTAATGGGTCTGTTATGAATGAAACTTAGCTGAACACAACCCAAGGAAAATAATACGATGTTTTTAAAATCTCATTGCAAAGAAACAAACATTTTCTTGCAAAACAAAATATCTCTAGCACCCTCAGCCAAATATCTTCATTTGCTTTTCTGGAACCTTGAGTAAGAGAGATTTGTTCATCCTTCCTTCCGGAAAGCATTTCTAAATCTTCAAGAACAGAATCCAGATGTTGCAATCTGGAATAGAAATGTTGTTTTGAGTGAAATGGCCTGAACTGCAACACAAATCTCTCTCTCTCTCTCTCTCTCTCTCTCTCTCTCTCTCTCTCTGTGTGTGTGTGTGTGTGTGTGTCACCAATTTTGGGACCTTACAGATTGAAAGAGCCCCACTAGGAACAAAACACATATCATGCAAAGCAAGTTTTTCCAGTAATAATCTCTTCTATCTGAAGCTCCTCTGTAACACTCTTGAGCCATTAAAACAGTGTGGAAAACAATGAATCTTATGCAATACTAATTTGCATTTAATATAAGTTGCTCTTAGGAGAACTGTTTCCTGATCTAGGTGTGACATTAGGATATTAATTTGTAGCTACAAGGGTCAAATGGGATCTGAACAGAATGCTGAAGGTTGTTGCCTCACTTCCACCTTCCCATCCACATAGTGCAAGCAGATATCATGTGCAGCAAAGAAATATAAAAATGGCAAGTAAAACATGTAGATTAATAGTTAAGGCATTGTGAACTAGTCCTTATTCCAGAAAATCATGACTCTTTCCACATAACATCACAATCCCACTGTGTTCCTTATGGTGAAATGTTATCCAAGTCACTTTGGCTAGAATTAAACTTATTCCATTGACGCCCTGCTGAAAAAGATGTAATAACAAGGCCAAAGGCCAGATCTAAAATTTACTGAAGGAATGTTGGATAAAACCCTCTTATTATAAATAGCTGCAAATCACTTTGTTTTTAGCTTGTTAAAAATTTAACTAATTAATGGATTAAATAGCAGATACCTTCAGATAACATCTTGGGATAATGGTTAGTTGATGGTCATTGTTTGTAATATGTATGCATGTGTGTATTGATCAGTTTTTCCCAAACTTGGGTCTCCAGCTGTTTTTGGACTACAATTCTCACCATCCCTCACCACTGGTCCTGCTAGCTAGGGATGATGGGAGTTGTAGTCCAAAAACAACTGGAGAACCCCTGGTATATAGATGATAGATAGATACTGTCAAAACCATGTTGATTTTTAATTGATATAAAGGTAAAGGGACCCCTGACCATTAGATCCAGTTGTGACTGACTCTGGGTTGCGGTGCTCATCTCGCTTTACTGGCCGAGGGAGCTGGCATACAGCTTCCGGGTCATGTGGCCAGCATGACTAAGCTGCTTCTGGCGAACCAGAGCAGTGCACGGAAACGCCATTTACCTTCCTGCCGGAGCAGTACCTATTTATCTACTTCCACTCTGACGTGCTTTCGAACTGCTAGGTTGGCAGGAGCTGGGACCGAGCAACGGGAGCTCACCCCGTTGCGGGGATTCGATCCGCCGACCTTCCAATCGGCAAGCCCAAAGCTCAGTGGTTTAACCCACAGCGCCACCCGCGTCCCTTAAATGATATAGTGGCATACAAATACATTTTATGGGAGGAGATCTCCTGATAGGTTCTGTTTTAGGGTGGGCTTCCCAAAACCATAGCAGCAGTTTCTCAGAGAAAGAGAAATCACCTTTTGCATTGTTCCAAGTCCAGTATGGCATTGCTATTTTTTTCCTACTACTTGTGGGGGGGGGGAGAAATGCACCCTCTTCAGTTTACCTTCCAGAAGTATCTACAGCTATTTAGTTTCACTTTGGACTGCATTTACATAACAAAGCATATAGTTAAGTAAATTGTCTAGCCAGATTTCCTAACAATGAGTCTGGTTTGAGCTTTTTTTTGTAGTCCCTTCCTTGCAGCTTTAAAATCACAGCTTGGAGAGGACCTCAAAATTCATTTAGTCTAACCCAGTGGTTCTCACCTTCTTGTGGGGGAGGAGGGGAAAGGAGAATGTTAGCCGCTTTGAGACTCCTTAGGGTAGTGATAAAGCGGCATATCAAACTTTATCTTCTCAAACTTTATTTGGGCCACGCTTCCAAAATAAAAATTTGCTCGTGCCACACCAAAAATGTTATTGACAAGAAATACATTGGAAAACAAAAAGAAACAACACTTAACAGTGCTTTATTTATATTATAACATAGAAAACGACTACTTTTTAATACAATCATGGGACATCCAGAAATTATAAAACATGCGGCTACATAAGAGCACAAATCATTCCAAAAATATTATATTGATTTGTCCTTGAATCTTCCCACCACACTTGCCATCCCCTCCTGCTACACCTGTGTGGCACACCAGGCCCTTTGAGAACCACTTGCCTAACCCAAGATTATTACACTGACCCCCCCCCCCTTGTATCAAATGCTGTAACATTCAAGTGTGGGTGTTGTTCCTTTGCAATTGAACTACTTTCCTAGGATGCATTTTAATGTGTAGCTGCATGTGAAGAAATGTCGGCCCCTCTCGATTCAGCAACATCTTCAGAGTGTCCCGGCAACCACCCTCTTACTAAACGTTATAAACTTCCACTAAAAAAGTATGAACATTGTTTAAAGGGTGGGGCTCATACTGTGGTATGTATAAAAATATTTATGCATCGGTTATTCCTCCTCTCCTGTTTCATTTCAGCCCTAACTAAAAACCTATAAAACTTGCTGGAGGATGCTTTGGGTTCATTATAGGATTCTAAAGCTGTTCTTAGCCTCAAACAAGTTGCATGCCGGTGTGTGAGGTAGACAGAATGGGTACAACACACGGGTCAAGTTCTGACTTCATGTGATTTGTGATCTCTGGGTTATGCCCTGATTGGTTGAATTCATCACTCTCTCTGGAGTCGAGTAGATTTTATGACCTCCTCCTGGCTGTCTCATAATGCAGAAATGTGTAAACAAGAGAGGCTGGCGTGTGGCGTTTTGCTAGGGAGCCTTGCGCCTGGGGAGCACTGGGGTTATGGAAGGAGGTCCCCGCATTAAAACTCTGGCATGGATTTCTTTTCAGCTTGTTTAAACAACAGGGCTGTGTGGAGTTTAGCTTGGGGGGAAGGAATGTGAGCTGTTTGAAATGGGAGGTTTCTCTGGGCTATGGTAGCTGTCAGATGTATGTACACAAGCCTTATCAGAACGATATGCCTTATTTCTTTTGGCAGTTGTGCTTATTTCACCTGATTACCATTTATAGTAAATGTTTTTTAATGAGGCCTGATGTGTCTGGGCCTGCAATGACGAAGAGGCAAGATGGGAAACAGCCCAAGATTGCAAGGCGCATAAGGCAATGCTTGAAGAATTACAGACAGCTCATAAAGTAGCGAGGGCTCCTCCTCTTACTGTTTAAAATTCTGAATGAGCCACAGATCCTAATGGCCAGTGACAGTGAAGGCATGGCCCATGATGTAACTTGCTCCCCATCCAAAAGGAGCCAAGATCAGGACATTCCCTGCCACTGGCAGAGGAGGCCATCAAAGGTCAACCAAGCACAGCATGTAAAGAAGGCAGTTAGCTGTTGTAGTTATGTCCACTAAATGACAAACACCTCAAGTACTTCCTAGGAAAATGGGATGTTATTTATATGTGACAGGATCCAGCCAAAGTTAATTTTTTTGTGCCCTATCGATTTGATCATGTGCATAACTCTCCTACTCTCCTACTTAAATCCACATGCACTAACTGCTTGACTTTGCTTGGATCATGCCGTCGCTATGGGGCATAGCTGTCAACTTTTCCCTTTTCTTGCGAGGAATCCTATTCGGACTAAGGGAATTTCCCTTAAAAAAAGGGAAACGTTGACAGCTATGCTATGGGGTGGGGGGTGGGGGCTGAGGGTGGGCTAGATGCCTTTTTTTGTGTGCCCAGGTTAAGCCTCCAGAGGGGCACCATTGAGGCTGCCAGCCTGTGTTGGTGTGTACAGAAATGCGCATGAAGGGTGCCAAACCAGATCTTTGACCAGAGTGAAATAAAGCCTAGTTTCACCCCTGATCATGCCCACAGCATTACCTTAGCATGGGACTACTTTGAGGATGTATTTGAATACAAAGAAATCCCCAATGCCTAATTTTTAAGAGGTAGAAATAATTCTGCTTTGGACACTGAACAAGATATTCTGCATAGAGAACAACAAAAAGAGCTGCGGCCAATTCAGATTTGAAACCTGGCACAGCATCACTGTGTGCATGGCTTATGAAAGAACATAAAATACATTTCTAGCTCTTGTGGTTGAGGAAAAATGTAGCAGAAGGTCAAGACTTTATTTTGATGACCCTGCTCTGTTTTTAGGGGCCTTGTGGGCTTGACATTTTGCAAACTCCTTATATTTTTCTTCTTCAACTGGCTGGGGTTCAAAATTGTCTAAGTGTGTGGGTCACAGTCTGTACAAAATGTACAAATTGCCAATTTAGTCCCAAAAAGCCTTGACTAACCTAGGCTGAATACACTTAACTTCCAAGTCATGTAAGATTCTTCATTTCTCCCTGTGCTGGTTATATGCATGATTGCACAAGTCTTCACTACTGGCCATGCATTTTTCCTTCCCACTCTCTTGGAAGCCTACCTATGCGCAAGGTCTTTAGCCACATGACCTTTCCATGTCCATGTTAAAGTTACAGTGCTTCGCATCACTTCAGCTAAGAAAGTATTCATGTTTGGAAAGTGGAGCACAGACAGCTGAAAGAACCTAGAATTTCATGCTTAGTGTGAAAATGACCTGCAGCTCTGGAAGACAGGCTTCTGTTAACAGATACAGTGGTACCTCGGGTTACATACGCTTCAGGTTACAGACTCTGCTAATCCAGAAATAGTGCTTCAGGTTAAGAACTTTGCTTCAGGATAAGAACAGAAATCGTGCTCCGGCGGCACGGCACCTTCCGGTTAAGAACAGTTTCAGGTTAAGAACGGACCTCCGGAATGAATTAAGTACTTAACCCGAGGTACCACTGTATATTACATTTCCACAGCACTTACACCACAATATTTTATACCTGGAAAATGCAAATGAGCATCAAAGGAGCTGACCTGATTAATCATAAGTAACACAGCTCTTAAACAACCCACATAGCTGCCAAGTATTTTGAACTTCTATATTATTTCAAGATCAGATTCAACCAACCAGCCCCACCAGAGGAAGCCCACACAAAGGGCTTCCATCCTCTCCTAAAGGTAAAGGTAAAGGTACCCCTGCCCGTACGGGCCAGTCTTGACAGACTCTAGGGTTGTGCGCTCATCTCACTCTAGAGGCCGGGAGCTGGCGCCGTCCGCAGACACTTCCGGGTCACATGGCCAGTGTGACATCGCTGCTCTGGCGAGCCTGCACCAGCGCAGCACACGGAACGCCGTTTACCTTCCCACTATAAAGCGGTACCTATTTATCTACTTGCACTTTAAGGGTGCTTTCGAACTGCTAGGTGCGCAGGAGCTGGGACCGAAAGACGGGAGCTCACCCCACCGCGGAGATTCGAACCGCCGACCATACGATCGGCAAGTCCTAGGCACTGTGGTTTTACCCATAGTGCCACCCGCGTCCCCCAGCCATCCTCTCCTCCCACCCTCTAAATTGGCCAGGGGGTTAGGAAAACCACCAGAAGAGTGGGGGGGGAGAGGAGATTATTCCATTTGACAAGCTGAAATGCTTGTGCTAATGAAACAATCACCTTAGCACTACAATGAATTCCTCCTTAAAATTAATGATTTTTTAATTTAATATCAGTTTTATTTTTAAATATTTGAACATTGCATGTTTCCTGTTGTACAACTCTAGCATAAGAGCATCAGAATAAATTGCTTCTATTCAAATGTGGTGGACGAGTTTTTCTCCTCCCTCTCCCATCCCTGTCATGCCATCTACGTTTTCCTTGTACTGGAGAAGTCCCAATGAAATTCAACAGCAGTCAGCAAGACTACCACAAAAGATTTAGTACAACCTAAAAAAACCATGTTTCAGAAAACATAAATCCTAAACCCTTCACTGCAGGAGACTGCTTTACATTTTGCTCTAATAATCAATGCCCTTTGAAATGCAATTGAACTCATAGCTTCCTCATAGATCTGGAAGCTACAGCAAAGAACCATAAGCCAGCTATGCGTTTCTCTAGATCTCTTTATAACTTCTAAATTAGTGAGTGGAATTTATTCCCAGCAGTACAACATTGCTGTCACCAGCAAAGAGAAGGCGATGACATTAAAAAGTAATTGACATTAAGATGGCTATGACATTAACATTAATTATGTTTGATACATGCTTGAGGTGGAATCTATTAAGACTCCAGGCTTCAAGCTTCAGCACATTCAGACATTTAGTCTTTCCCTTACTTCTTACCTGTTACACTCCCCACCCCACCCCACTTTTGATTCTCTCCCTGTAATGGGGCACTACGAACGTGTGGGTATTCTGTATAAGCCTATTTCAAGATAGAGGACGTATTTTGTAAAGCCGCAGAGTTTAGGTTACATTGCTGGATTAAATTCTCAGAATGAACTTTGATGAGAAATGTCAAGGGGATTTTGTTCCTGTTTCATTGATAATGCCACAATTCCCTTTGCGGACACAATCTGGTCTTCAGGAGGAAAGAAACATAAAAACAAGGCAAGGTTGTAGGGTTCAAGCCCACCGGCTTGGCCCCCCCTGGACAGTGGATGCCTGGGGCCATGTGTGTGCAGTCTGCTCCCTCACACCCAGCCTCCTGGGTCAGGTCTGACTCGGGAGGCAGAGAGAGGAAGGAAAGTTGCAGCAGCAGTGCCACTCCTTTTCACAGCTGGGCAGCACACCTTGCATGGCTGGGCGCAGTGGGCTCCCATATCATGTTTGACGGACATGCAAAAAGATGTGGGAATTTTGGCAGGAAATTTAGAACGAATTAAAAAAGATGTTTAAAGTCTCGTTCCCCCCAAAGCATTCCTCTTAGGGATCACTGGGAATGAAATCCCAAGAGATTTTGAGAAAATCTTTATGTATGCCACCACGGCAGCAAGAGTCTTGGTTGCCCAGATCTGGAAAATGGAGACCTTACCGAGAAAGAGAGACTGGTTGATCAAATTGATGGTGTATGTATGCGGAATTGGACAAGCTGACAGGTCAGATAAGAGATCAAACAAAGCAAAAATTTAAAAATGATTGGAATATATTTAAACAGTATTTGAAAGACCATTATGGAGAATTACATTTTTTTTTACCGGTTTAGAATAACTCCTGTAAGGAAAAAAATAGTAAAATATAATGGAATTAGGTTACCAAATAAAAAGTTGTGTCAGGAGGGGCAGTTGATTACGTAAAACTGAGAACCCAAGTAAGAAGGGGAGGGAAGTCAAATGCAAATGGATTACAATTGAATCAAACAAATAAGTATGTATTTTTGTGTTTCTTATTTCCTTTATTATGTTCTATAAATATATGTTTAACCTACAGGAAAACCAAGTTATGACAATGTGATGTGATGAATGTATGTTTAAAGAAACTAATAAAAATGAATTGCAAAAAACGGGAGAATATCTTCCACAGCTGGGCGTGCTGACATCAGGTGCATACACCCCCACGGTGTGCACGGCCCCATGCAAAAATTTGTGGGTGCCCTCCCCCTTCATGGGGAATGTTGTGGGGGCTGGAGCACCCACAGTCCCTCACACTCGGCACCTATGGTGGGGTTGATGCTTTTCCATTATCTACATGGGTGCAATCTAGTGTTCGGGACGAAAGGAGAATAAGAGAAAGATTTTTGGGGAGGGGGTTGTCTTCTGCTATCCATGTGATTCTCACACCTAACACTCTTCCTTATCAAATTATAATTTTGTGTTACATAAAGGCAAGTACTGAAACTACATGTATCTTGTTACAATAATGCAGCCTGTTTTCTATGCATCTGCCACCCAATACATAAAAGTGTCTTCTTTCTGCCTAGTTGTCACCAAATTCTTCCAAATAGCAGTGGCTCAGCATGGCCAAAGGTCAGGCATAATAGGGGCTGTCTTCCAGCACTATCTGAAAAGGATAAAGGGAATTAGAATTGCAAATACTGGTTTCAGTATTTACAATTAAAACTAGATTTTGCAGCTTATTTTAAATAAATAGGCAACCTTCCTTATATCTGCTTTTTATAATATATGCATCTTTACTCTCTCCACATTCTTTCCAGCTTTCCTGATATTTTATAAGAAAGTGTGCTTTATAAATTTTAATAAATTAAACAAAACTATCCTATAGCAGAGCCCCCTTTCTCCCTTGATATCCTGCCACCTCTCCTTTTCTATGATGTGCTTCCTTCATTCCCCTTGTCCAAGTCCTTCTGCCCACCCTGTTCCTCTTTGTAGCAGAACTCAGCCAACCATCGATGTCAAGACAGTTCACCACCACCGAATTGTTTAACATGTTACGATATAAACTGTAGCGTACATAAAAACAAAAAGCCACCATAGACAATGATGGAAGCTCACACTCTTAGCGAGATGTGCCTCACTTTGCCCTTTATTCAAGGAGATTCTCATTCCTGCAGGAAAGCTTCGTTTTTGTTTGGCTGCTTGCATTTGTATTATTTCCTCGAGAAAGCATCTGTGTCTGAATTTCTATTCCTGGCCCAACAGTTTCTTTGAATTGCCATTAAATAAGAAGTCCAACACATATTAACTGCACAGATCTCTCTGAACACACCTTTTGCAGGCAGGTGCACAAATTTCCACGCCACTCACTGTACATCCTCCAGTTTTCAAAACTGAAAAATGAAAGAGTTATACCTTTCTTCTTTTTTTAAAAAAAAGTTTTTGTGAGAGCATAAACATTATCTTAGGTTACATGCTTATGTGAGGAAATCAGCCCTAAATCATCCACAAATATACCCATTTCTATTTAACATCTAGGAATCATAGTGCAAGCCTGTGTGGGTGTGTGGGTGTTCTTGGCTCAGTCAATATTTTCTTTATTTTCAGTATAAGTTTTTGTGTCCATTTCTGCTCTCTGAGGAATATGTGGATTTGGCTGAAAGAAATAAAGTATCTTACAAAAATCCAAAGCCACCTACAGGCTTACATCTGAGCTAGTTCCATCACCTAAGCAGTTTCAATACCACAAGAAACAGTAGTAGCTAAAAATATTAAATATCCCCCTTTTCTTCCATCATATGACACTTCCTCATTTCCTCCTTGCAGTGGCATCAATGGAAAGCAGCCTGACCCAACTCTATAATTTGTTTGCACAACCAAACAAAAACAAAGCCGGAAAAATATGGCTAGTTCATACAATACCAGGACCCAATACAAGCCGCAATGGACTTGTCAGGACAGTAGGTCCACAGGGGCATGTGACTCAAACCAGACATCATTTAGGAAACAGCTTACCAAGGGAGTTTGCCCAGGTCAAGATGGGGTGAAGCTGATTTAACGGGAAGCTGACCAAGGGAGTCTATACTTAAATATCCAGGAATGGTCGTGGGCAGATCTGTGTCTGCAAAGTCAAGATGCCCTACTTTGAAGAATGGGTAATTCTGAAACAAAACCTAGGAAGGTATAAAGACTTAAGAAGACAAACATATGAGACAACCCTGTTGTCAGCCATGGACTTCCTGAGGGTTTGCCCTTACTCATATATATAGGAATTCTAAACTGCCTTTCATCAAACTAAAAACCCTACAATAGCTCTCAGTTGCACTTCACTGTCATCTATCTGATAATCCCTACCCATCTAAACAGGTCTTTCTGCCTTCACAGCCCACAATCACTTTGAAGACTGGTACTGGAAGTTGTGGGGAAATATATTTACAGAAGTTCACTACATTATCCATTTTCAGTGCCAGATATGAGAATAAGAAATAACATGGAAAAACTTGAAAATCTAAGTTTGGGAAGCATACCCAAAATATTGATGACAGAATGGCTGCAGTACTTTGCAGGCATTACTTTTATTCCCAGGGTATTGGCAACATCATGGGAGTAAATGTGAAGTCTGGAAGTGCTCTATATCCACATAGCCTCTCTTCAAGCTAAATGTTGTGCTGCTCCTTAAGCCACAGCAGAACTGTGATGTCTGCTTCACAAATAGCTGTAAACAGCGCATTGGAATCTCAGACTGATAGCAGTTAGAAGAAGAAGAAGAAGAGTTTGGATTTGATATCCCGCCTTTCACTCCCTTTAAGGAGTCTCAAAGTGGCTAACATTCTCCTTTCCCTTCCTCCCCCACAACAAACACTCTGTGAGGTGAGTGGGGCTGAGAGACTTCAAAGAAGTGTGACTGGCCCAAGGTCACCCAGCAGCTACATATGGAGGAGCGGAGACGCGAACCCGGTTCCCCAGATTACGAGACTACCTCTCTTAACCACTACACCACACTGGCTCTCAAAGTTTCTTTCTTTTTCTTTTAATTTTTTTATTCAAACAAGCAACAAAACATTAAGCTAAAAGTAATAATAAAAGCAGTCATAAAAGCAGGTAGAATAAAATTACAGGATAATAAAATAATAGTTGTAATAATTCATAGAAGGCTTAAAAATGAATGAGTGGTGTAAAATATATTCCATAGCAGAATAAAAGGTAAAATGTTCATATTTCTACCAAACATATCGTTGTTGTTGTTTAGTCGTGTCCGACTCTTCGTGACCCCATGGACCAGAGCACGCCAGGCGCTTCTGTCTTCCACTGCCTCCCGCAGTTTGGTCAAACTCATGCTGGTAGCTTCGAGAACACTGTCCAACCATCTCATCCTCTGTCGTCCCCTTCTCCTTGTGCCCTCCATCTTTCCCAACATCAGGGTCTTTTCCAGGAAGTCTTCTCTTCTCATGAGGTGGCCAAAGTATTGGAGCCTCAGCTTCACGATCTGCCCTTCCAGTGAGCACTCAGGGCTGATTTCCTTAGGAATGGATAGGTTTGATCTTCTTGCAGTCCATGGGACTCTCAAGAGTCTCCTCCAGCACCAGAATTCAAAAGCATCAATTCTTCGGCGATCAGCCTTCTTTATGGTCCAGCTTTCACTTCCATACATCACTACTGGGAAAACCATAGCTTTTACTATACAGTGGTGCCCCGCAAGACGACTGCCTCGCAAGATGGAAAACCCGCTAGACGAAAGGGTTTTCCGTTTTTGAGTTGCTTCGCAGGACAAATTTCCCTATGGGCTTGCTTCGCAAGATGAAAATGTCTTGCGAGTCTTGAGATTTTTTTTCCGCTCCCCCCCCCCTTTATCTAAGCCGCTAAGCCTTTAATAGCCTTTTAGCAGCTAATCTGCTAAACCGATAAGCCTTTAATAGCCGCTAAACCGCTAATAGCGCTAATCCGTTAAGCCGCTAATAGGGTTGCTTCGCAAGACGAAAAAACCGCTAGACGAAGACACTCGCGGAACGGATTAATTTCGTCTTGCGAGGCACCACTGTACGGACCTTTGTTGGCAAGGTGATGTCTCTACTTTTTAAGATGCTGTCTAGGTTTGTCATTGCTTTTCTCCCAAGAAGCAGGCATCTTTTAATTTCGTGGCTGATGTTGCCAAATAAATTCATATTTAGCAGGAATGTGCCAACCATGAGATTGTTTCTTTTTTAATAGTATAAAATGCACGTCAGGTGGTTTTAGCAAACTTTTGCCAAGGGATAACTGATTGGCCTTAGGATCTGCAAGATGAAACTGTGGGTTGGCTCTGTCACCAGGCATATATGCTTTGTCCCTAACCCGGTTGGTTGGCTAATTAATGAACATAGAGAAAACACATTAATTTTGAATTTGCATTTCACAAATGAAGCTGAAGATAAACAAGATTTAAATGCCTTCTACCTGTGAATTCTGGTGCTTGGCAGGAGCTTCAAGCGAGGAACAGAAAAGTATTTGGAATTATAGATAATCAGTCAAGACTACAGCCATACTGTGCCCACCTCCCATTCCTATATGCTATGCCAGAATATGTAAAGCTCCACCAAGAAATGGAACACTGTACTAAAATAGATATCCAAGGTTCATTCTGTCAATATAAGGACCCAAACTGCCTTAACTCTGAAAATCTTATTCAGCATTAACCCCGCTTTCTGCATCCTGACACATCTCAGATCTCCTGACTTAAAATTTCGGACTTAGATACTTGATTCTTGCCCATCAGTGCACTCTGTCTTGTCTTCCTGACTCTAGTGAATGGGTATCAGCTTAAATCTAAATACTCTTGTTGTATCTGCTACTAGCATTAAGGTACCTGAGAATTACTATGCATTTGGCTTAAACTCATCTCTAAGCCTACAAATGATTAGGTTTCTCTGTCCCATTAGCTAGGAACACAGGTGGTACAAATAAAACAAGATCTCAAATAAGCTTTGTTTTCTCAGATGCAAAAAATTGTATTTATTTTTCTAATACCATCAAATACTGCTCTCAATTTCACATGTGTATTTGCTTTTGCGTTAATCCAAACAGGATAGATCACTGTATGATTTATCAAAACAATCACCACTTCCCAAGAGAGCTCATCTTGGGGAGGTGGGGCAAATGCCACAGGAAAAAAAATCATAAGCATTAGTAAAGTTAGACTGTTTTCACCAATTTTGAGAGCTACCTTTGTGCAACCTCTGGCTGCTGTGCTTTGTTGTCCCCCCTCACTGTAGAGAACTGTTGTTCCCTGAGGCTGAGAGGCACTGTTCTATGTGCTGTGAAAAGAAGAGTCACCAATGAGACAAAATGAGTTGATTTAAATGTTTGCACTGAAGTTAAAATGAATAAGGCAGGCGTTGTTTCAAAACTACTCATTTCTCCTCCCCCCCAAAAAAAATCACCTAATGTATGCATACAATACCTTTGCAAAAATGCTCATTAATGTCAGTGTTTTGCCCTTTTGTCAGTTTATCAAATTAAAGTTTAAGATGATTTTAAAACAGAGCATTTCCTTTCCTCCCCATTTAATAATAATAATAATAATAATAATAATAATGATAAATTTTATTTGTATCCCGCCCTCCCCAGCCAAAGCCAGGCTCAGAGTGGCTGACGTCTTATAAATAAGGCAATATGCATAATACAATATACAATATGCAAATAAAATAACATTCAACATTCATTAAAATAATATAGAATACAGTAATACTAAATAGCAGCATTTCAAAATTAAACAGAAATCCACTCTTAACAGTTAGAATAAGTAATTTCTAAAAGAAGTTTTTTAGCTAACTATGAAGTTGGTTTGAGGCCTCCAAGAATCTTTATCAGGTACAAATGAAAGAGGGCCAATCTAACTAACATTGTATCAAATGGAACTTCTAAAAACATTCTGCTGGTGTTATTTGTGTGCATATCAGTGTTTTTTTTTGGGGGGGGGGAATCCTGAAAACCTGATCCACAAGCCATCTGTAACTAAGAGGTGTTGTAACTCAAAATAACTTCTTGCAATAGTGGGCTGCCTGGGCACAAAGGAAAACGACCCCTCTACCCCTTTTTCCTAGGCTAAGGTACATATACTTCCTCTGACCTTCATAGAATGTGCTCCTTGGTAACATGGCTGGCCTTTTCACATCTAATTAGTAGATGTGCTCTGCAGCAGCCCACGTGGAGCAACATTTGTTCTGGTTCAGCATGTTAGAAACATTATGCTCACTCACTCACCCAAGCTCAATGACATCTCATAGCTCTCAGCTGAAGCATCTTTCTGTTCAGGTCACTGATAGCAAGATGGTTGCTTATGCAAAAGGTCTTTGCAGCTTCAGCCAGACCTAGGGCATCTTCACTCTGAAACTGGGACAAGTGCCCAATGGAAGCTGCAAAGGTCACAGGAATGCTTGTTGGGACACAGTACAAGTTTATTCTTGTTCAGGGCTTTCCTCAGACAACATCCCTAGGCTCTTTGGCCTTAGCTAGAGGAGAAAACATCAGAGGCTCTGTATATGTGTGTGTGTGTTTGCGTGTATACACAAATAGAATGAGAAAAAATAGTGACTGGGGACAAAAAACTAGGCAGGGGTGGGGCTCTTAAGAATAAGGCAGCAATAAGCAGGTTCACTTCAGAAGGAAAAGCAGTGTTGTGAGGAATGTGAATATAATAGACACCAGCATAGCTCAGAGACATGATAATCTAATCAATTTATTACTATATCTGCCTGAGGAGAGCCTCAGCATAGGATACGTGATATTACTTATTTTCTGTGTATACAGAGGAGTACCCTCTGATCCCAGCAAAATGCCTTCTGGTACGATATGTAGATTAGTTGGTTAAGCAGACTCACCGTGGCCTAGCTCCTGAACCCCTAATTTACCACTGCTTCAAAGATATCAGTTTAGTGGAACCACTGACACAGAATACCTGTGGTGGAAAAAAAAACGTACTAGAGGCACTTAAAAAAACCACCACATCACCCCCAGCCCAGTCGCCCTTCAGTAACAAACATATTCAACTTGGAGAACCTGAAATATACTTCTCTTTCTGGTTTGGATAGGCTAGGAAGAACTTTGGAATGACCTGTCTGGAGGAACTGAGAATCCAATACTTTTTTATGCTAGGTGACTTTTGCATGAGAAACTTCATAACTGCATTCATAGATATGCATACCACAAGGGTGAAAGTAAGCAATATAAATCCACGCTTACTGAAACTGTAACACACAAAAATATCTTAATGATACAGACTCACATTCTCTAGTCTACACTATAAGGAACATGGGGGAGTGGCTGTTGTTGTCATTCATATTTTTGCCCAGAGGAAATCTGTGGTCATCCATGCATGTTTTGGAATAGGTGGGAATATGAAAAGTGACACAGAACATTAGGCATTCATTTTTGTCTCATATTAGCAACACTTGTAGTGGGTACGTGAACTGTCATATCTTGTTATGAGCAAGTATTGGAACATAACTGAGCACTTCACTACTGTAACTTGAAAATGGCTAACAGGGAATGAAGCTTGTACCTGAAAAGTGACTTTCATTGATTGTGATGGGAGGTACACCAAGGTTACTTCTTAAGATCCAACGTGCATGTGTTTCAAAATAAAGCTTTTTCCTAAATGCACACTCACTCTGTTAGAATTTGGCAAGGTTTATATCTAGCATTATCATTTTATCGTCAAATGTCTCGATATAAATATGACTCGTCTAGAAATTAATTTTGATGACTTCAAAAAAAATTCATATCTTCCCCTTTCAAAGAAGATCACTGCAAATGTCATGCAAACTAACAGCTTGACCTGGATTTTAAACAGAACTAAACCAGATCCAGTGCCAGCAGTAAGAGTTCAAATCACACGGGCCCGTCTTTAGTACGAAGCAGGATCCATGGAGGAGTCAGGCAAACCTTCAATCCCACCAAAAATTAACAGATCCAGCCACACTGCTAAATTCAGCCAACCTTCAGGAGCTGCTTCAGATACAAGTGATCACAGTGTGCAGCTCCAGTGTTGATTTAATTTATTTATATGCTTCCTGTCCACAGTGAGCTGTGCCCAAAGCAGTTTACAACAAACACCTATTTATTATCAAAATACAAAAAAGGAGTGGGGGGGAGCCAATCTGCAAAAGATATAAATAAATACAAATAGGACAAAATCAACAATTCAACAAAACGCAGAATAGATTCAATATTACTAAAGAAATACTCTAGACTTAAAAGACATAAGAGCAAAAAGGAAGTTAACAGACAATAACATTCCAGCTGCTGATGCTGGTCTTACTGCACTGTCAAGGAACTTCAGCAGCCTTTCATAGGGGGAGGGATCTTCTCCCCCGGACTAGAAGATTTACAGCTGGCCCCTTCATCTCTCCTTCAGAGACTGTTTGGGTCTCTGGTGGCAATAATCTGCTTGATGACATACTGGCCATTACAGTCCTACTGTATTTTCTCTTGAATTGGCCACTTATAGTCAGGTCAACATAAAGGTGCTAAGTTCTATTTCAAGAACTGGGTAGCTGTCTTGGAATAAATGTAACTTTTTGATCTTACATGCCCCATCGGTGTAGGAACAACAGATTTCTCAAAACGCAGCTGAATAGAAGGGATAAATGCTAACACTCAGCAACAGAACGGCATTTGTATCTTCACTTGCCTCTACGCACAAACTTTACATTCTGTTCTGTCTCTGAGGGGCAACAACATCTGCTGCCTTCTGCATCACACTTTTTGCTAGTGTTATCCTGCATAAACATTGGTCTTGGAAATAGCCACATCTTGCCTCATGTTGCCTTTTGCTGTGTGGTCAACTTTTAGCGACATGTGCTTCTGAACACCTATTCCCCCCTCTTCACTTTTCTATTGCTATACAAGAAATGTTTGGTGTTCAGATATCATACTAGTACTATTATATCTAGAGGACACCTGAACAGCTGACACAAGCAAGTGTATAATGTCACCGGAACCAGACAGGTTGTTGGACAAGTACCTTGCCATGAGGTAAACATGTCTGAAAGTATTAAATAGCAATAAGTAAGAAAACTTCTGCATACACGCTGAAGCTTTTTCTCATTCGTAGATCTTTGCCTTCTGGAGTGCAGAATCGTGACAATCTTATGATGGCCTAAGGTAAAGGGACCCCTGACCATTAGGTCCAGTTGTGACCGACTCTGGGGTTGTGGCGCTCATCTCACTTTATTGGCCGAGGGAGCCAGCATACAGCTTCCGGGTCATGTGGCCAGCATGACTAAGCCGCTTCTGGCGAACCAGAGCAGTGCACGGAAACGCCGTTTACCTTCCCGCCGGAGTGGTACCTATTTATCTACTTGCACTTTGACGTGCTTTCAAACTGCTAGGTGGGCAGGATCAGGGACTGAGCAACGGGAGCTCACCCCATCATGGGGATTCGAACCACCGACCTTCTGATTGCCAAGCCCTAAGCTCTGCGGTTTAACCCACAGCGCCACCCGCATCCCATTATGATGGCCTACAGAAAGACAAATTATAATTAAATCTAATCATGTTTACATAGTCCAACAATTATAAGATAGGTGGCTCAGGGCATCCTTGTGGGAGAGTTATGTATTTGTCATAGAATAGGTAAAAGTTTAATTTTCTGGCTTAGGGACTTGAACCAGCAGTTGATTGAACTAAGGGCTAATTTGATCCTTTATAAAACAACTTCCTTAGCAGACAAAATCACTGTTAAGATCAGTCACAATCCCAGATCGTCATGATGATGCAGAATACACTGTACACGTATACTGCTTTTGGCATCCATCTGTCTCAAAAGACAATGGAGTGCGCTTCTGGGAGTGACGTCAAACCCTGGAGAATCAATGCCTGCTGTTACTGCACAGACCAGTAACTCATATCTGCTGCCTACTGCATTGTTTTTGTTGTGTTAGTAGCCCCAAAGTGATCTCTCCATGGCACAATCCTGGGCAGTGTGTATGAAGGTCCTGGGCTGCCCGGATGGCAAGCCCCTCGCTGATGGGTCCAAAGGAAAGCAGAGCAATACATCTGTCACCAGCTTGGCTGGAAGGAGGCATTTGTTGTTGTTGTTTAGTTGTTTAGTCGTGTCCAACTCTTCGTGACCCCATGGACCAGAGCACGCCAGGCACTCCTGTCTTCCACTGCCTCCCGCAGTTTGGTCAAACTCATGCTGGTAGCTTCGAGAACACTATCAACCATCTCGCCCTCTGTCGTCCCCTTCTCCTTGTGCCCTCCATTTTTCCCAACATCAGGGTCTTTTCCAGGGAGTTTTCTCTTCTCATGATGTGGCCAAAGTATTGGAGCCTCAGCTTCAGGATCTGTCCTTCCCGTGAGCACTCAGGGCTGATTTCCTTTGGAATGGTTAGGTTTGTTCTTCTTGCAGTCCACGGGACTCTCAAGAGTCTCCTCCAGCACCATAATTCAAAAGCATCAATTCTTCGGCGATCAGCCTTCTTTATGGTCCAGCTTTCACTTTCATACATCACTACTGGGAAAACCATAGCTTTAACTATAGGGACCTTTGTTGGCAGGAAGGAGGCATACAAGACGCCATCTAAACATCTTAGGGACTCTACTCCAGATTCTTGTAGGGTTTACCCCTCAGCCTATTCTTAATATTGTTTCCCATCTAGCCATGCATCATAGTCTCCCTTCAACCAGCATTATTAGGTTTGATATGTGCAATATTTAGATCCAGGGCAAGGTTTAGCAACCCAAATATGTTGGGCTTTCTGTTAACTATCATCTTAACCTGAACATCTGACAAGCAAGTACATGCACCCATCTGCCCTCCATCTCTCTTCCCTTCCCTAGGAGTTTGTACCTACAACTGAAACAAATTGGATAAATGCCTCAGGTATTCCTGTCTCCAGCTGCAGATGTAATAACTGCAGACAATTTTCTTGTACAGTACTGTCAAGTTCTCTGTGAAGGTCTGAACATCAGAGGCTATAATTTACCTGCTGTTTGGTATGTTACAATAATCAGGAAAAAACTGTTTCGTCTGTTGAGAGGGCACCTAGCCTGTCAGGCAACAGGCAACAAAACTTTGCAATGCTCATAAGATAAATATTTTGTAAACAGTTAAAATTGGAAGACATTGCTCAAAGCAGACATTATCAGCTGTTGATTGCCATGTTATTAGATTTCTCATATTTTACTAGCAATACATACTGACATAAAATATGAAGAAACAACAGTTGTCATTCCAAAACTCTTTCCAATTTTCAGTGTGATTTCTCAAGTAGGCTGGTCCGACAAATAATGCTTTCTTCAGCTTCTACCCCAAAGAAGCTTGATTATGATGGCTATTCAGCCACATTTAAAGGTAATATCCTTTTATTTATGGCATTCTGCCAAAACAGAACAGCCGCAATCTCCAGCCCATTTTTCCATCAGCAATTCCACTTTAATACTCTCTCAAAATTTCATCGTACATTCTGTCCTAGTACAGCAACTTTTGTGAAGGAGCCAGGAAAATAATGGTCACTTCCCCACCTACACAGCTGTTGACCACCACCCATGATTCAACAGGTATATATATATATCTGTACAGTACCCATCATATTTCCACCTTATAACTGCTTCTAATTGGTATGTGTGTGGACGGGTGGTATTTAATCTTTAAATCTACAATTTGTTCTTTATAGCTTGATTTGATCCTTACTAATTTCTTTCACTTCAGACCTCAAATGCCTCACAATGCTTAAAAGAGCAAAGAAATTTACTTTCATTTTATCTTTGTGTCACTTGAAACTTTAAGCGCATGTGATTCAAATTAGGTAGAGCCTCTGAGGCACTATGTTTTATATTGATGGGCCTCTCTGTCCTCTTTGTTTTGAGCCTAGCTAGCTGCTCCCTCTGGGAGCTGACTGCAATAAAATATTTTTTTTAACCCGACACTTCTGACTCTCTACCAAATTCCTGAAACCACAGATCAGACTAGGAAAGCAGGCTGCAAGCATCATGCATGTGGGGCCGGGTCTCACTTATTCTGAGCGCTCACACTCTCGGGAGAAGGTGACCTATAGCCTCTCTTCCATTGCTAGCCAAAGAATACAAAGAGCAGATGTCCCAGTATGTACATCGTCTGGGCATAACTGAGTGATTATCCCACAGAATGTTCCAACTCGTTTCCAACTTTCCCCTCCTCTGCAAGAAAAAATCTGCAAAAAGGCACCACTTGCACATTGGCTCAACTTCTGAAGTTATTAAGGATAGCAAAATCAAAGTTTAAGTGAAGAAAAGGAAGCCTGAAAACAGAATTGCAGCCAATGTTAGTTATACTTAGTAGTCCCATTAAAATTAATGAGCATTACAAACTTAGGTTCATTAATTTCAATGGGTCTACTCTGAGTAGAACTTACTTGGCTACAAATGTATCATTTTTTGTTAGTATAGAATTAGATTTACAGAACTCTTAAAAAAAAAACCAACTTCTCCAGGTTAATCTACACAATATTTTATTCTTGTCACAGCCCATGGTGTTTGTAGGCATTATAACATAGCAGTGAAAATTTGTCCCAAGGAAGCAGCAGGAGAGTGGTTAAAATACCACTTGATCTAATAAAAATATAGTTGACAGCATCAGGACCAATGCAGAAGCAAGACCCAAAAGGAGAAGCATTTCAAGGAAAAGCATTTCCTGAATGTATGCAATGTTTTGCTAAACTGGGAATCAAACATCAATTTCTTCTATGGCTGTACAGCAGCCTGTCAATGTCTCTATCCATCTTTAACAAATTAATAAGTATTATTACAAAATTGCTTAAGACTGAGTTTTCAATGGATGCAAGGTAGGATAGATGTGAACACCATACAGTACCAACTGCTTACATGAAAGCCCTGCCTCTTTAAAAGGCCAGTTGTTTCACATAGGATTTTATGGAACCAAACTCCCTGTAGATAAAAAGGATTTTCAAGATGCCTAGGGTTCAAGGGTGAATCCAATTTGCATAGTGAAGAAGCTTGCAGTGTGTATCACAATCCATTTTATCTCCTACCTCTGTGCCTTCTTAGTTAACCCTTTCAAGCATAAACTGTAGGCTGAATTAATCAAAGTCTTTAAATACAGCCTTAGCTAGAGAATAGGCACAGTTTGATGGTTTGTTTGTTGTTGTTTTTAGTCGTTTAGTCATGTCCGACTCTTCGAGACCCCATGGACCAGAGCATGCCAGGCACTCCTGTCTTCCACTGCCTCCCGCAGTTTGGTCAAACTTGATGGTTAGGCTCCCCCAAACTATTTTGAGAAATCTGAAAGTTCCTTGCCATTAGATTTTCAGGTCTTAAGTTAGGTAGCACTTTCTTCAGAATCACTGACACTAAATACAAAAATACATGCTATTTCTTCCCCAGATTTTAAGTTTACCAAATTATAAATGTAGCTTACAAATAGAAACTCACATACATTTGTGCTGACCTGGTTGAATTCTGAGAACACATATACTGTACACTAGATTATGATTTATCACATGTGATCAAGAAACAGGGGGGTGGGGGAGAGAGGGAGAGAGATAACAAACTCAAACGTCCACGGCCTTTGGGTGAATTCTGCCCTCTTGTGGTACAAATTTTAGAAACACAAAGTACTATTAAAAATGTGTATTTTATCCATACCATTCATTTTAATTTTCTCCACCTCAATGCCATTCATGAAGCCAAATCTGAGCAGATTCACTGCCATATGCTTTGATTTCAAAATGCGATGACAAGGTCCAGCTCAGTTGTGAATATGGACCTGGTTCCTGGGCTGTTTAACTACCAGAAGTGTTAGCTATACAGTGGTACCTCGGGTTAAGTACTTAATTCGTTCCTGAGGTCTGTTCTTAACCTGAAACTGTTCTTAACCTGAAGCACCACTTTAGCTAATGGGGCCTCCTGCTGCTGCCGTGCCACTGGAGCACGATTTCTGTTCTTCTCCTGAAGCAAAGTTCTTAACCTGTAACCTGAAGCGTCTGTAACCTGAAGCGTATGTAACCCGAGGTACCACTGTAACTGGGGAGAGGGGGAGCATATACATCAATAAGCGCTGTGTTGTGTGTAAAAATAGAACACTGTTTTCACACAATTTCACCGATTCAGTGAAACTTCTCGCAGTATTTTTGAAAAAACAAAGGATGCCTGCCCATGAGCAAATTCTGTGTAGATATGTGTACTTTCAAGGGATCGCATTTCAATTTACGAATATTCAGAATAATTTGCAAAATGTGCAAGTTTGTTCATGGTGGGAATAGAAAAAGCTGTTAAGACTGTGATAATTTAAAGCAACAGTCTTCTTTCTCCTCCCAGAATATTAGATTCTCACTTAAGGGACTCCCGTGTTAAGTCATGGTAATTAATTTTCAAATAAGTAATCCTAATGTGCATTCTGACACGCTTCAGTCACGAGAGAAAAAGGTAACATGCAAGGCCTGAACATTTTGAATGTAATCATATCACCCTATCATTGGCTTAAGTTATATAAGGGTCACACACACACACCCACACACCGTTTTTTTATCAAAATAAATTGTCTATGCACGACTACGGTCTTTGTTGCTACTTTGCCAACAGTGAATTCAGCAGAAATTTTCTGCATACCTGGGAGGCTAGGATTTATCCTGAAAAGGTGAATGCAAGAGTGTGTGTGTGTGTGTGTGTGTCACTCTCATTGTTCCTGTTTCCTCAAACTAGTGTTATAAGAATTCTAAGGTCTCAAATATAAAATAAATGTTCATAAATGTCCAAGGCAAACACATACATAAGTACATAAACCTCGCGTCTAAAATAGTACAGGAGAACAACCCTGAAGCCATTTTGACTCTCCCAAATTGTCCTCAGATATTTCTCTGCAAGGAGGAAGGAAATGGGAAAAGCTTTCCAATTGTCTTTGGACTGCAGGGGCTTACACCTCCCTTTTCAAATACAGTCTGGCAAGTATCTGTTAAGCTGAGCAAACAATCAATATGCGTAAGAGATTCCGGAACTAAAGCATTTACCATCTCAAAAGAATGGCCAGGCAACCCAGAAAATGCAATCAAGTAAGGCATTATCGGGTATCATGGCAGACAGGAGAGAAGCAACACTCTCAAATTTCTGCTGGAGACTTCCTCCTTCTGTGACGTATGTATGATGTTTCGTGGGTGGTCTTGGGCTACATGGTGGGCAATTTCAAAAGTCTTTATAGGGGCTTGTGCACCATTGTTCGGGGTTCTCCTCCCTCCTGTGTGTGGTGAGTGGGGACCCTGTTGCAACAGTTTATTTCCTTTAATAAAGATCAGGCTTACTAGCCGCTTTCCTCTCAATATACTCTGCTTGGCCTCTGCTTTCTCTCTGACTGATAGAAATCTCCTGAGGGACTCTACAGACTCTGGATACCCCATAAGGGAATTAGAGCCAAAAACTAGATAAAGCGAAACAGCCTTTTGAAATGCAAGCACAAATGAATTAACTCATCATGAACACACCAACATTTCACAGTAAAATAATATAAATTGAACTGGGATGACATTTTATTATTAGTTTTCTGTTGCTTCTCTTTTCTGGCTGCTCTAAAGATGGTCAACTGAAAAAACAACAATTAAAACAAGCTGTCACTGGGGTGTCTACTCTCCCTTTTTTAATTTAAGAAAACATCTCAAAAACAGCACACATGATAAAAACAAAGACACTCCATATCTATTTGTTTTGTCTACATTACTTTCTCAGCCTAAATTTCACATGAGTATCAGAGTCCCTCTAGCGGCCAACTCTGGAAGCATCAATATAGCATTGTCAGCTGTATACAGTACAATTTTGCCATTGATTACAGTACAGTACAGTGGTACCTCTGGTTACATGCTTCAGGTTACATACGCTTCAGGTTACATACTCTGCTAACCCAGAAATAGTGCTTCAGGTTAAGAACTTTGCTTCAGGATAAGAACAGAAATCGTGCTCCGGCGGTGCAGCGGCAGCAGGAGGCCCCATTAGCTAAAGCGGTGCTTCAGGTTAAGAACAGTTTCAGGTTAAGAACGGACCTCCGGAACGAATTAAGTACTTAACCTGAGGTACCACTGTACTTGGTTTTCTTTTGTTAGGAGAGATTTAAGTTAAAAATAATATGTTTCTTATTAACAACCTGTAAGCAAAAGCTTTATCAATCACAAGTCATAAAATTTTGTTCCTAATCCCACCACAAAGTAGCATAGGTCAATGGATGGAGTTTGAGGAGAGGGAATTGGCGTCTGTGTCATTTCACAGCCCCTCAATGCACAACAACGCAATATGGGTGGAAATGCTGCCAATGGTAGCAGGACAATCGCTTCCAGATTAGCCCTGCCTATATTCAGCTACGGGTTCTTTAAGCATAGCCCACATAAATTAAATCCCTTGCTCTGGGAAGGGCTTCTGCCAAGAGTGTGTGAATCTAAAAACCAGTAGTTCAAGCTCTATGGTTTGTTTTTTTTACAGTTTGAGGGAAGCTAAAACCAGTACTGTTCTGATGAATACTCACAGTACTCAGACAGCTGAAAATCAACTCACTATTCAAGAAAAGGGAGTTAAGTGTTTTGATTGCTGCTTTAAATCATACTCTACTCATACACTCATTCACTATAAATACTTTTGGGCTCAACCAAACCTATCACTATTTTAGCAACTGTTATACACTATGAGCCACAGCTCAGGGGTAAACACCCCTGCCTGAAACCACTGCTAGTTGGTGTAGACCAGGGGTGTCCAAACTTTTTTGAGGGCCAGATTTGATGAAGTGAACATGCGTGAGGGCCGACCATAGTTGTTGACCTTTTTTTAGGACTGAAGTTGTTGACCTTTGGACATGCCTGGTGTAGACAGTGCAGAAATCAACCAACCAAGGTCTGACTCTGTACGGTGGCAACTCGGGTTAAGTACTTAATTCGTTCCGGAGGTCCATTCTTAACCTGAAACTGTTCTTAACCTGAAGCACCACTTTAGCTAATGGGGCCTCCTGCTGCCGCCACGCCACCTGGGCACGATTTCTGTTCTCATCCTGAAGCAAAGTTCTTAACCCGAGGTACTATTTCTGGGTTAGCGGAGTCTGTAACCTGAAGCGTATGTAACCTGAGGTACTACTGTATAAGGCAGTTTCCTATGTTCCTTTTATTAACTCCAACATTTAAAAGAATTCTATGTTTACCATCTGTTTGGTGCACATGGCAACACCGGTTTTTACCACTGGTGTTTGCCAGCATCAGCATAATTTTTTTTTTTTTTAAAAAAGTATGTAAACAGTATCTAGATTAGCAGTAAACCAGTCAATAATCTACCAGCCAGCTCATCTGAAATACTGTAGATACAAATTAACTTCTATTTTGTAAAGCAAGAGATAACCAAACTCTGTTTTAGTGAGGCTGCACTTGTGACATGCCTACCAAGCAACTGATCTGCAATACAGAACAAGACCCCCAGCATCCCATGATAACACAAAGATGATACGTAAAAGTCACTATGATCCTCTTGACAGAGTGATGAATGTGTTCAGATTCCACCTCAGTGTAGCCTCATCATCTTGGCAAGTCACTCTCTCCCTCTCCATTTTGGTTGCATTTGTTAATAGGAATAATATTGCTTTAAATGTTCATATCTGGTCTTCTTGATCAATTCAAAGCAGCTTACCCCACAGAACACAACTCTCACTGGAACATGACATGAAATGCCAAGGCAGCAATTTATTGATCTAGGATTACTGGAAGCATCTGACTTGATCTTTCTCTTTCAGCATCCTGTTCCACTTGGCTGTCACGGGCTCAGATAGAATTTAAGAAAGTGGCCGAAGCAAACATTACTCTGCCCTGTCACCATCGACTGTACCGCCTGGGGCAAACAAGCCTAGACATAGAATGGCTGCTAAAGAATTCCGATGCTGAACCGAAAGTGGTATGTCTATCCCCTGAAATTCAAAGTTCCTTAGTTCACACTATCCCCACATAGATTCTGGGGTTAAAGGAATAAAACAACCTTGCCCTCACCCAGGGATTTTATGAGCTGGAGCTCAATGGAGCTCAGCTCCAGCACCTCTCAGGTGGGCGTCACTGCCATTTTAAGAGAACAAGGGAGAAGTTCGTGGTGAGCTCAGGAACCTCTTTTTTTGGAAAAATAACTCTGCCCTCATGTATGAGGTGGCGCCGCAAGGTGTGGCAGTGCACCCCGGGTGCCATGTCTGGGGGGGTGACAAGGTGGCACCCCGCAGGGTGCTCGCCCCGCCACCCCCCGGCGCAGCAGCGCAAGCAGCCATTGCAGCGCCGCAGTCACATAGGGAGGATCCTCTGTTCGCAGTTGCAGCCGCGAGCAGAGGATCCCATCATCGTCTGTACAGCATTTGAGCAGCGCCAGTGGCAAACTCCTATGTACAACGCATGCAGTGTTGAACGCATGCGCTGAATGTAGCGATGCTGCACATGTGCTGTACATTGCGGTTTGCTGCCGGCATCGCCCAAGCACCGTACAGACGGCGGTGAGCAGAGGATCTCACCACTGTCTGTACGGCGTTCGGGCACTGCCGGCGGCAAACTGCTACGTACAACGCATGCGTGGTGTCACACGCATGTGCTGTACATAGTGACGCTGCACATGCGCCCTACGTAGCAATGCCACACATGCGTCGTACGTAGTGACACAACGCTTGCGCAGCCGGTGGTTTGCCCCGCCCTGGGTGTCGGTTAGCCTTTGTTCGTCCCTGCATGTATGCTAATATATAAAGTTGGCTCAGAACAATATGAGACTTCAGAGTCCTATGAAGAGGCTTTTGTTACAATGCAAACTGGGAAACACCAGCCACACCTTTGGTCACACTGAGATAGCAAAACTAGTTAACATAGATTACTAAGCACTACACATTTTAAAAGCATACAAGGAGCCTGCTTGGCAAACCAGCCATTCTATATTTTAAAAGAGCTCCCGCGTTGGACGACAGATTTCTGGTGAAAAGGATAACTTAGAAAATTTAGAAGAATTGGAGTGCAGTCTTGAACATGTCTAACTAAGTAGTATGCCCCATTAACTTTGATTGGGCTTACTCCAAGGTAAGGGTATATGCAACTGCAGCCTTAGCCATGAAAAGATTTTTTGGATGTAAATGTTTTCTGTTAAACATTAGTCACACTGTGAAACAGATGGATGCCAACAACACTGTAAGAAACACCAAACTATTCCATAAAGGGATATACATGCCTTAGTTACGTTATGTTTGGATTACGTACTGTAACGATCTACGTGGGGCTGCCTTTGAAAGCTGCTCAGAAACTTAATCTGGTTCAAAGAGCTGCAGCCAGATTGTTGACTTGGGCTGGTTATAGGGAGCATACAACTCCCTTGTTAAAACAGCTCCACTGGCTACCAGTCCATTTATGACCTATAAAGCCCTACGCAGCTTAGGTCCAAGCTATCTGAAAGACTGTACTCCCTCACATGAACCTGCCTGGGTTTTGTGATCTTCAGGAGAGGCCACCCTTACAGGCACTTGGTGGGGACATAGGAGTGAGCCTTCTTGGTGGCTGCTCCCAGACTCTGGAACACCCTCCTTGTTGTCCCTCTGCCAGCAGGTGAAGACTTTCTTGTTCCAACAGGCTTTAGGGAACTGACTGGTTTTAATGAAAGGGCTGGTGCCATGCTGTTTTTCTTGTAATTATTTGTGTGGTTTTAATATATTTTATATATGTACTGTATATAGTTTTAATTCTATAATTGGTTTTTTGCAATGATTTTTTAAAAGAAATTTATAGCAGTTCTTATTTTTATCTGTAAGCCACCTTGAATCCCATCAGGGGAAAAGATGGGAGTATAAATAAATATCTTGAGTGAAAAGATTAAATACCTCTGTTGTCATACAAGAAGGCGATTTTTTTACCTCTAAAAGCCTAGGCTAAAGCTTGAATCAGAAGACTTTTGTCTTAAGTAACAATGTTACTGTGTATAAAAAGACATATTCTTCCCAGACACAAATTAAAGGAAATAAATCATAAGCATGATTTTAAACAAAATGTAAATCTTATGAAATATAGCTGCAGAAGGAAAATAGACATTGCCAAAATTACAGAATTGTAGTTGGAATGGACTCCAACTACAGTGAAGCCCCCTGCAATGAAGGAATCACAGCATTGAGGACAACACATCTAGAACAAGTTACTCTTGTCCAATTTTCATTCAGAGAATGTTGAAGGTTAACCCTTAACTACAAGGACAAATTATGAAAGACAGAAATAAAACTTTTCAGAGAGGTAGTCATGCTAGTGGGTTAGCAGATGAACAATGTTCAAGTGTGGAAAAGCCCTTGGAATACGAATAAATCCTAGAGATTTTGTTTTTATTAAACTAGCAATGGTGAAATGAAGAACAAAGTAACTAATGAGTGGACTCTCTCTGCCTCTCAGGTGATAAATTATGCAGGAAGCAACACCTACACTTACTTTAATGATGAACAAAAGGGTCGTGTTTCATTTGCCTCCAACAACCGGACTGGAGATGCCTCTTTGGAGATTTCTTTCCTGCAGCCAAGTGACGCTGGCCAATACACATGCAAAGTTAAAAATGCGGGGCAGTATGAATGGACCCACATAACCCTGAAGGTTCTAGGTAAGGCTCTTATGAAGTTGTTCCAAGATAAGTACTTAGTTTATCTATTGAGTATCATGTTATTCTGGCTTACAATTAATAGTAGGAATCTGTTATTTTTTTCCTATTCCCAGAAAAACCTTCTAAACCCAAATGCTGGAAAGAAGGAGAGATGATAGAAGGAAAAGAAATCAGTTTACAGTGCAATACTGTCTCTGGCACTACACCCATAATGTACAAATGGGAGCGTATAGAAGAGGGTGGAAAAGCTGGGTCCCTGCCACCCATGGCACATATCAGTAAGTTCATTGTTGTCCCAAAACCACCTTCAGCAAAGGTTTTCTCGTGGCTGCTCATTATGGCAGATATCAAAAGCAGGGAATGTTTCTGGGTCTTCTGTATAAAGTATAAAAAGCTGAAAGTCTTTGACATGTAGAGTATCATTATTCCCTGCAAGAGATATAGAAGGTTCTACATTATTTATTTAGGTATTAAACAATGTTTAAACAATGTATCCTTGTCCTACCTAATTCATGAAATCTTGATTTCCCCCCAGATTTTTCCAATCCTGCACAAGTTCTGCTGAAGAACCTCACATGGATGGCAACAGGGTTATACCAGTGTACTGCCTCTAATGAAGTAGGGCAGGAAAGTTGTGTTGTAAAAGTGACTGTGCAGTGTAAGTATACAGGGAATCCCAAGTGTTTTTAAGGTTGGAGGAGGGCAAAGTGGCCCAATACTAAATTAAACATTAAATTCACAACGAATGTCAATTGTACCAAAAAGACAGTTCATTAATATTATAGAAAAGCAGAACAACTAGAAGGCCGCTGTTCAGACCTTGGCTTCATCACTCTCCATCTCCCAAACACTCCACACAATAGCTGTCAGTTTACACAATGAAGCTTTGCTCCCAAGGCACAGTAACCAAGACCCTGTAGTCAGCCATTGGGTCTAGAAACTGCACCCCTCTTTCTCCTTTATCAATCTCAGGTGTTCTCTGCTCACCTTTGGTCAAGCATGAGGCTCTTAATCTCAGGGTTGTGGGTTTGCATCTCAGGTTGGGCAAGAGATTCCTGCATTGCAGGGGGTTGGGCTAGATGACTCGTGTCTATGATTCTATTATTTAGGGATCCCTACAAACTAATATATTTTTGGTAGAAGCAGCATCTCTAGGTTTCATTAATGAGCTATGTCTCTGAAGTAAAGGCCACAATTTTGAATTATCCACTTGCCTAATTTTATACTGAGCCTCAAATTTGACTGAAGAGGCAGAAATAATTTTTTATTTTCCTGTAGCGCAATAAAATATACTTATAACCAGAAGCTGAGTAAAAACTACATGGGAAGGGTTCACAGCAATGAATGAGTTTTGCTTTCCTGCTTAGGCACTTAATGATAGCAATACTGTGGGTCACGAAGTTTTCCAAGTTAGTTTAACCAGCGATTAGGGTTTTTGGAAAACTGTTTTCCCCATGACACGGGAATAAGGGTAAGCCTCACATGGTTGGCAACAAGTCTTTGCCAACATACACACAAATCTAGGTGTGTGCAACCATGAGGAATAGATTTGCTTTTAAATAAAGGGACAAGAGGAATAAGAGAGTCCTTACAACAATAAACAGTAACTGCTTTGTGTGGTGTGAAGGAGCTGTGCTCCCAAGACAAGCATCACCACAGCAGCCTATCTAGAAAGAACTTGGGTGGAACTGGGCAGAGGCAAGGTCAGAGCTACTTAGGCATACCAGCAGAAGCACTGGATTAGTTCCACTGGTGCACTCCCACAGCCACAACTACACCACCATGCTGCCAGCAGCCATCACGTATGAACAAGATGACCTCTCTCAACAGACTTTTCTTGTCCCATGACATGGTCTGGTGATGCATGATGCAGCCACCTTGCTCAAGATAAAGAGGTCTAAAACCTGCTCAATGACTGGATGGGAGACTGGAAACTACCCAAGCTCCTAGATGGAAGAAAGACAGGTTATAAATGTAATAACTACCCAGTCAAGTAATAAATAGTTTAGAAAGTTCTACTGTGGTACAATGTGCTACTTAATACATATTAACTGAACACTTTAAGCCTGTGCCCAGCAACCATTATACATGGGTCACAATGCCAAAATAATGGCACACCAAGGTTAAAAGAATCTGTGAGCAACAACAGATTAGGCAACAAAAATATAAATAAACAGCAATAATACATTTGGATACTATATTACACATTTCATAATATTTACTGTAATAAACATAAAATGTACATTATGGATACATTTAAAAATATTTGTAGACTGAATGAATGTGTATCAGAGCGCATGTTTAAGGTGGAAACTTGAAGTCACTAAAAGGAATTTTTCAACCAGCCAGTCTTGTTATAGTTACTTTAAATTTATTAAATGTATCAATTACTTCTCACAACAAAAATTCCCAAAGTGATTTACAACAAAAAATAACAATAATACAAATACATAAACATGATTAAAAACATTCACAACACTTTGTGAAAGTGATCCGACTTAAATTTCACCTCTTTAATCCAGAAGTAGACAGAGATTTATCAAGGCTTTATTTTTCCTAAAATAAATGTAAATATGAATAAAGGGACATTCAACAGAGAAGAGGTAAAAAGGGCTTAACCTGGACTACAGTGTTTATGCAGTTCACTATAGCAATTTGAGTATGCTGTTATTTTATCTTTTGGACACAGTACTAGAACTTCTTTAGAAACTCCTATACAAGAGGATTAAGTTGCATGGAAACTCACTGAAACAGACACAACATACTGTGGCAAAATTTTTTGTTCTTTGGCAAACGTAACACTGTATGTATTTATGAATCAACAGATGCACAAAATTTTGGCATAGTTGCGGGAGCAGTGTGTGGAGCAATGGGGGGCCCTGCCCTGGTTCTCTTGGCGGTGTGGCTGACAATCAAGAAAAAAGAGAAGAAGAAATATGAAGAAGAAGAGACCCCAAATGAAATCAAGTAATTACCTCTAAAGTATTTCTATTTACAACTCTCCAAAGACCAAATTAACACCACATTACCTTCCTGTGTCACAGAAGGTCTCAGAACTGGCAGAATGGGGGAGGGGGAGGTTATCACTCAGTGATAAAAGGTTTCTAATCGGATGGGGAGTTATGTGTTGAGATTCCTCCACTGCAGGGGGTGGACTAGATGACCCTCAGAACCCCTTCCAACTGTACAAGTCTATGATTCTAAGCACATGATTTACACGGTATCCCAGACTGAATCACTGGTACCCCAGTTTAAAAGGCCCCCAAGTAACAGAGCTGGGAAAGATCTCTGCCAATACCGTGGAGAGCTGCTACAGGCAGCAAGAGAGAGTACTACACCAGCTGGATTAATGATCTGACAAAAGCGAATAGTTTTATGGTCCTTAAAACATTTACAAAAGTATTACAGGATAAGCCTTCCTGGACTAAAGTCTGCTTCAACATGAAATGTTATCCTCAGGGGGCAGGTATATGTGGATGTAGTGAAAAAATGTAAACAACATCAAAATGAGATTGAAAAATAGTCTTTGACAACTCTGCTGAAGCTTAAACAAAGGCAGAAAATGGCAGCTTTATGTGCATACAGGCAACTCCCAATTTACACGAGGGTTAAGTTCCAAAGGCCCCACACATTTAAGTGAAATTGCATTTATTTGAAACACCACTGTAAAGGCCTGCACACACCCCATTCCACCCCTTTTTGTGACTTTTAGGGTCACTTCTAGGTTCATCGAGAATCAGATGTGCAGTCACGCACATATCGGACACACTTAAAATGGTTGCTGCCTGTATACCAGCCACTGTCTTGTGTTATCAGGCACAAGACATGTGGGCTGGGAAAAAGACTGGCTATCATATCACTCACCTGCCCAGTTTTTTATTTATGTCATTGCACAGATAAATTATATTACTGTCTATTAAAGTTTGTTCCTACCTATTTAAAAGGGAAATGCAGTATGAATCTAGCTGCATTACAATATGCAAGCCTGGGGCAAGTGGAGTGAATAAATGAGTCAAGACTGAAGTTTCAAGGCTAAATATGTGTTATTCTATTGTGGGAGACTTGTGTCTCTTCAGATGTTGCTGGACGACAACTCCTATCATCCATATTCATTGGCCGTGCCAGCTGGAACTGATGGTAACTGGAGTCTTAATTAAACACCTGGAGGGCCACAGGTTTCCCACTCCTGCAGTAGGGAAAGTGTATGGACAGCAATGCAGTTTAGTTTGAGATAATTGTGAACAAATTAGTTACATGCTATTTCAAAAATATTCATTCTCATTAACCCATGAATGCTGAGATCCTTAACAAAAATACTGTGCACCTTGTGTTCCTTTGAAGAGGTATTAAATACTCATTTGTGCATTACTTTAACTTGTCAGTGCTAATGAACATGGTGTAGATTAGAGGTTATCAAACTTTCTATTCCTAAGGCTACTTGAGATGGCTGGGAATTACTGAGACTCACCAGTCACAAAACAGTGGTGCAGGGCAGTCAGCCACAAAATAGTGGCAGATGGAGGTGGAGTTTGGCATAATCAGCTGATGATTAAAATCATTGTGTATTGACATCTATTCCCTCTTCAGAAATGGCTAAATTCTTTGCCAAAGCATTTCCCTTGTGACAGACAGTTCCTTTTCATCTTTTTTTCATTTAAATACAGACTCCACATATAGCTGCTGGGTGACCTTGGGCTAGTCACACTTCTCTGAAGTCTCTCAGCCTCACTCACCTCCCATAATGTTTGTTGTGAGGAAGGGAAAGGAGATTGTTAGCCGCTTTGAGACTCCTTAGGGTACTGATAAAGCGGGATATCAAATCCAAACTCCTCCTCTTCTTTATATATATTTTATCTGCCATTTCCCAGAGTTGAATACAAAGTTTATTCCATACAAGATTCACCCAGCTACATGCTTGTCAATTGAATTTGTAATAGTATTTTGTATATTTATTATTTTAAGTGATCTTCTTAAGATACTTTAGTTTGAAGTTGTATATTATTATTTAATAGCTGTAACAGTGATAATTTCTGTCACTATTGTGAAGTACTAATTCATATGAATTCTTGAAAGGAAGAGCACATACTTTCAAGAACTGACAAATGACAACAAACTTTGTGTACATAGCTCTCTCTATTTTAGCACATAACCCTTACCAGAACTTTCCTTAACTTTATTTGTTGGATGTTTAAAACAAGTCTGAACTACATGATTCAGCCTACACCCTCAGGAGAGAAAATGAGAGTCATCCTTGCCCAGCCCTCATGACTCACAATATCCCATTTAATCTCTTTATAATCCAGCCATTAAGCTGATACCTGTGCTCTTTCACAGATTATTTTTTTTAAAAAAAACCTCTGCATCTCTTCGATTGCATATTAGGGTTGGAATTTTGTAAGAGAAACCATTAGTACAGATTACCAGTATCTGCCTATGTGACACTTAACTGGACTTTTTTCCTGTCCCTTGCTTTCAACCTTAGCATCTTTGGAAACTTTCATTTCACTTCACTGCCCTTTTCTATACACAGAGCAACATGAATGATGCAGGAAGAAATTGGAAGCCATGGGATACAATAGAAGCACACAAACTACCTTGAGTATTGAGAGAGGAATGTCTCTCAAGATACAGGAAATAGTATAGTACAGTTCTACGGCACTGGGTTTGGCTGTGGGGAAACCCAGACTCAAATACCCATTCACCTATGAAGTTCACTTGGATGACCCCAGGCAACTCACACTTGTACAGCCTACCTAGTTACTTGGGAGATGAGATACAAATGTAAAAAACAAATTCTAGATAACTGAATTGTATATCAGGAATGTAACACACACTAATTTGTCCAACTTATGTACAGAGTGTCCTAAGTCCCGAGAGCACTCTGTGACCCACTTTCAAGCTGCAACAAGTAGTTCAGGTTCATCCGCTGACTCCACTATATTAATATGGGTTAGATCACACACAAGGGAATGACTTATTAACACAGTCTGCCTCAGCACTGTGCCCTAGAACTACAACCTTGGTCAAGGGTGAAAAATTCTCAAAGGTTTTATTACCCTGAAACTTTAAACCATGTTTTAAAGCACTTCAGAAGATGCTTCCAAGCAGATACAAAATAATTCTACACAATCACATTTTAATGCAATGCTACTCAAAGTGGTAAGGGACATGGGTGGCACTGTGGGTTAAACCACAGAGCCTAGGACTTGCCGATCAGAAGGTCGGCGGTTCGAATCCTCACAACAGGGTGAGCTCCCATTGCTCGGTCCCTGCTCCTGCCAACCTAGCAGTTCGAAAGCACGTCAAAGTGCAAGTAGATAAATAGGTACCGCTCCAGCGGGAAGGTAAACAACGTTTCCGTGTGCTGCTCTGGTTCACCAAAAGCGGCTTAGTCATGCTGGCCACATGACCCGGAAGCTGTACGCCGGCTCCCTCGGCCAATAAAGCAAGATGAGCGCCACAACCCGAGTCGGTCACGACTGGACCTAATGGTCAGGGGTCCCTTTACCTTTACTCAAAGTGGTGGTCCGTGGACATCTGCCAGTCCACAAGTCATCAGCTTCCACCATGGTCCAAGTTGGGTAGGATGTTTTAGAGACCAAATATGGTGTCAATTCTTGGCACACGGTGCGGGGCTGCCAATCCACCACATCAGATAACTTGAGAAGCAACTGTTTTAGCAGACTATGACAGAATGTGTTATTTTAGCAACAGCAGCCTAGAAGTGCAATTGTGTGCTTTTTCAATCGAATGTCAGGACAGCTTCATATTCCTGCACTGCAGGGGGTTGGACTAGATGGTACTCAGGGTGCCTTCCAACTCTACAATTCTATGATTAAGATAGGGAATACAAACACATCGTTAAGGAACCCCTAAACTTTTGACTGCTAGAAGCAAATACTCAGGAGACTAGATTGTTCAGTTGTGTTGCTGCTCAACCTCATTTCAAACTTCCAGTGTTGGTCTTATTGGGAAATAACTATGGACTCAATTAATTACTGATCTGACTCAGTGTGGTAGTTCTTTTGGATTTGTTTTTTGGGCACGGCATGGCAGTTGTTGCACAATATAGGATTGACCCAATGCAGTAATGACACATCACAGCTGTGTGAAACACAAATGAGTTTTATTTAAGCGATCACAGTAGAAAAATTACAAAGGACTCCTAAAAGAACATCTGCTTGCCATTGTGAGAACAGGATACAGAACTAGACGGCTCATTTGCCTGATCCAGCAGGTTCTTCTTATGTTCTTAATTATCTTCACAGTGGATGGGGCCAGAAGTGACATGTATGTCATACCTGGCTGTATGAAGGCAGATTGTGTCCCCTCACACCAACACAATCAATAGTATAAGGGAAGGGATTCAAGCCCGTCTTGCTGGTAATCCTTATACTGTATTTATACAAATTAATAGAATAGGTTCTGTAAAAGCCATAGTTTAGAGTTTAGATCCATGTCACTTGTGTTACTTGCAGCCTATCACTCCATATGAGCCTTTGGTTTCAGAGACTGCCCCCACCCATAATGCAATACACAATATTCCTGCTAACTAACGCCTGCAACTTTCCTAACAGTAGATAACTGGTCATTTTTTTAATCCTCTAGGATTTATACTTTGCATTTAAACCCTGAATTATTTAGAATGGTATTAGGATGATTTGGATAACATGGAAGTAAGCATTTTTATTCTTTTCACGCATTGTGAATGATATACATATGTAATACAGGTGAAAAGATCAGCACTTAATTCAAAACCTTGTTGAACTTCTAAAGCATCTTAAAATTAATGAAATGAATATGTCTGGTCTTCATTATTTTCTACATTTAATCATATCATCTCTTGATTACAGAGAAGACGCAGAGGCACCAAAAGCCCGATTAGTCAAGCCTGGCTCTTCCTCTTCTGGCTCCAGAAGTTCACATTCTGGATCCTCCTCAACAAGATCAACAGCAAACAGTGCCTCCCGAAGCCAGCAGACATTATCAACAGAGGCCACTCCTCATATTACTCCAACGCAACACAACCAGGTTGAGATAGATGGCAGGGAAACTGAGCCAAAGAAAATAAACCACACCAACTTTATGAAAACAGAAGCCACACCAACCATGATGCCTGCTCAGAGTCGGGTTTTCCAGTCAGTTTGATTATTCCGCATCTATTCAGGCTCCAGCTATGCCCATAACACACACACACACAAACCACCAGCACTATATTAGATTGTTTACCTTCCAAGGGAGCTCCCCCACCACACACACTCAACCACTACATAATAAAACTCATCACAGTATTCTCTGCTACAGGTAGCCTTGAAAAGTGAACTCATGCTGGTTTTTTTATTATTATTTTTAATGCTTTTTGTGATTAACTCTTAAAGGAAGAAAAGGGAACACTGAAGTGGCAGGTGTCAAATGCTGGAGTCTTGAACCATTTTTAAAAAAATAAAAAAGAGACACAAAAAATCCCAATAGATCTCTGAAGTGGAAATTTATTTGGTAGTTTTCATGAAATGTATACAAGAAGCAATACAGAAGTGTGTCGGGGGGGGGGGGGGACGACAATGGACAGTGTACTTCTCTTCTCTGTACTGGAAATAACACCATCCATTTTTAGGATGGATATTGCCAAAGTTATGTTGTTGCTTTTAAAAAGGCCAGAATAAAATGGAAAGTGTGATGAGTAAAACTTCTAATTAATGGTTTGGGAAATCTTGTTGTAAATATATTTGTGAAAGAAACACTCAGACACCCAAAATTTAAAGGAAAAAGCCAATGAAAGTTTGTTTACACAATGCAACCAGAACTGTAGAATTCCATAGCTGATTTTAAGAATTCCTCAAATTTTCCAAAGTACAAAAAGACTTCCATTATTACTATTTGTTACTGAAGATATAAATTTATAACTAGGCTGATTTAAAATGTTCATACTGCAGCTGATTGTTTTAAAGCCTGAATTCTGACATTTTATCACATTCAGAGTGAAACCACTAGCCTAACATAGTACAAGAATGATTCCCAAATGGTTGCTTAGAAAGTACCAGTGGATCATGTACTGTATTGGCAATTCATTAACGTTAGATACAACACAAGGGGTTTCAATAAAGGTTTCTCAAAGGAAATCAGGGGTGAATTTTCTTCCTAAGAGAGAAAGGCCTTTACTTGGAGAGTCTCTGTAACAAAATGTTTGGAAATATTTGAAGCATGCTCCAGTATGATTAAAATCACTTATCTAGGAATACTAATAGTTCTAGCCAGTTAGTCCTACTCAGAGTAGACCCACTGAAAATAATGGACATGAATTATTTAGATCAATTCACTTCAATGGGTCTACTGCAAGTACAGCTAGCTGGTTGCAACCCTAACAGTACCCCATGTTTATTCAGAATTCTACTGTGTTGAAGAATGTGCTCCTAATGCTCACAGAGTAGTACTTTAAGTTTATTATCCCCAACTAAGGAACCTACTTTCCCCTTCTTCAAAATAAACCTAATACAGTGCCAATGACTTCTGTTTGCAGGTCATACTGAATTCATATTATGCACATCCTTAACATGAATAAATTAAGATATAAGGTTTATGGACCACTGAACAGTTTTATCACTGCACTGATTTGAATCACCACAGAGAAGATTGCAAGGTGGTCAACAGTTTATGATTTATTGTAAACTTCATTTTTCAAACTTTTAACTAGGAAGCTTTTTAGATCACTTTACTCAGGATCTGACCCAAGTACAGAAATGGATTAATGATTTGTATCACAAAAAAGAGGATACTGAAACAGTGATATGTGGCAGATTTTTTTTCAACACTTTGTTTCCCACTCAGGAAGCTCAGTAGTAACAATGAGTGGATGCTAACTGCAAATAAAATACTAGGCAAGTTTGGCAATTTCAAAGTTTTTAGTTTTGTTTACTAAATACAAGTAAAATAAACATGCTAAATCAGATCACTCTCTAGGGCACCAAATTATTTTCCACTGCAAGCTTGAATCCCCACCCCAATTTAAATTATCCCATACAAATTACTCTAATTTACAAAGGAAAATCTACATCATTGTATTCAAATTGGCTAAGTTGTAAATATATGGTACGTGTGTACTTTGAGCCTTCACATGCTATTAAATTTCCAAACCCACACCTGCCATTTCTTTAAAGGTGAAGTACAAACTATGAATTCTACTAGTTTAGCACATCGTCAGTGGCATTATAGGTTAAAATTAACCCAAGTGAATTACACAGGTATTAAGGGAGATAAGATCTAAATAAAGGTGGAATATATTCTTACAGATCATCAAATATTTCACATTTAAAGAGAATGTTAAGTGCAATGGCTTTTGAAGTAGACATGGTACTAAACACTATTTCATAAGGGAAATCACGCTCATGTTACGAGAAACCAAACTTTATTTTGTAAAATATTCTATTTAAAGTATTTACTGTTATTCTGTATACCAACTGCTACTTAGTGTGGGTGCATAAATCTTCTCTAGTTTTGTTTTAATTCCTAATTGGTAAACTGAGATTACGTCTACCTGCTATTATTGGTGTACTTGTGCTCAGAAGGAGGAACACAAAATGAAACAAACATTTATTATAGATTCCTTTGAATCAACAATTTAGTAAGGTTGTTTTGTTGTTGTTTTTAAATAAAAGAGGTTGCAGTATAAATGCTGTAGTTCAACCAAACCTGGAAAAGTGTCACAATTTTGTTATGTAACTAACTTTATGGTCCAATTAATTATTTCAAACTGCATCAAGGAGAGGGAAAATGAGAGGAACTTCCTCTTACCTACAAAGTGTTTATAGAGGAAAGTGATTAGAGAAGGGGATAGTAGTAGGCTTCCATATCCTGGCTAGCAGGAGATCTAGGACCTGGGAGTCTATACTATATGAAGAGTCTGATGGCTTTCTTGTGACCTATTTGTATTGCTGATCCCACTTTACAATATGCAGTAAGACCTAAAGGTCATGAGATGCAAAGCCTGTCACATTTCTATGTAAACAGAGTAATCTATTCACACTTGCAGTTACTTATATGGTGCTAATTAGGCTAAATTGTATTAGAGAATCAATAGGACTTATTTCAGAATAAACATCAATTCCAAGAAATCCTACAACAAAATGGAAATTTCAAGCTTTTGAATGCACGTATAACTAGAATGCCCTATGGATTATATAACCAATGAACACACAATTCCACTGGGGGGAATCATTCCAGCAACATACCCCAGAAGACCTTATTTGAAGATATAAATAGATCCGATCTACAGTAGTTTAGTCACCCTTCAGAACCAACAACCGTAGCAAGCACATTTTGACATAAGATGATAGGGACAAAGCTTCCCTCTGACAATCTCAGATTCATCAGTATCAGGATTAGAGATGGGAGAAATTTCTTCAACTTCCAAGAGCCTACTTGAAAAAGAAAACTTTTAACAGGCTAATACAAGGACATCCTAATTTTGCCCCCAAACCAAAGAGATTCTTAATTAGGTAACAATTGGGGGAAAGAGAAATTTGTGTAGGAATAAGCGCCCCAAAATACTGAGATTGATAGGGAAATAAATTGCACAAAAGTTTCATCTTTTACCCAAAAGTGAAAGGCAGTGGAATTTCCACATGAATAGGCAGAGGATAGCAAAAAAAAAGGGGGGGGTTTCATGTGAGGAATTAATTGCAGCCAGAATTAACCATGGTTTACAATGGCCCAATTCACATGCCACTGTAAACCACAGTTAAAATAAATTATGGTTTAAATATGAATGAAACTAGATTACTATTTGTGGTTCGTTTGGAGAGGAGGAAATTATGGGCCTGGGTCTGAATTAAATCAGACCACTTTTTGTTTTCTGGCAGTGTAGCAGGAATGGGGAAGGAAAAGCACTAGAACAATGCACACTCAAATTTAATCCATAAATTTATTTTAACAACCATTTAAAGGGGCATGCAAATCAGGTCAATGCAATCAAAAATACATTTACTCAACAACATCCTACTAAATTTAATGGGCTTTACTCCCCAGTAAGTATGATTCTATCTGCCAGCAAGCTTATGCATATTACTAAAAAAACAAGTTCCACTGTGAAATGGGACTATCTACACAGGGGACATAGGACGCTGCTGCCTTAAACCATGTTAGACTATAAATCCATCTAACTCATTATTTACACTGTGGCAGCAACTGTTTCACACAGTATTTCCTAACGCTTTCTGAAAATGCCAGGATTGAACCCAGGACCGTTTGAATGCAAAGCTTGTGCTCTACCACTGAGCTTCAGTCCTTCCCCTTGCACATTAGGCCTACACCTTTAATCCCAGAACCAATCATTCCTTGTCAGAACTAAACCAGCAAAAGATGTGCATTCATTTGCTTTCTTTTGTGCAACTGTCTGCTGGTCATCAGACATCTAAATTAGAAGACCTTCCAAAGCCAGAAATACGTAACTCTGTGGCAGTATGAAACCAACCATCGTCCATCTCAGCATCACATATCGTTGAGGAGAGATGTTGAGCTAACTGCAAACAAGGTTGACAGGGGCTCAGCTAATCTGTTACCTGATTTTAGTACCCGGGCAGTTTTAAACTATATGAACTCCCTTTAAGAGGGAAAAAAAGGGGGGGGGATCAGAAACAAGACCCTTATTAGGCCAACAAAAATGGAACACAACAGGAAGCAAACTTTCAGCTTTTTCTTTACACTCCAACAGACTGTGTGGTAAGGAGGGGTCGGGGAGAGACCTGGGGGTGGGAGGAACAGCTTGGGCTTGTTTGGTAAACCCTTTGGAGGGTTGTTGTTGTTTAACCATCAATAGGTATGTAAAGCATACAAAATACAGTACAGTGGTACCTCAGGTTAAGTACTTAATTTGTTCTGGAGGTCCGTTCTTAACCCGAAAGTGTTCTTAACCTGAGGTACCACTTTAGCTAATGGGGCCTCCAGAGCACAATTTCTGTTCTCATCCTGAAGCAAAGTTTTTAACCCGAGGTACTATTTCTGGGGGGGACACAGGTGGCGCTGTGGGTTAAACAACTGAGCCTGATCACAAGGTGGGCAGTTCGAATCCCTGCGACGGGGTGAGCTCCCGTTGCTCAGTCCCTGCTCCTGCCAACCTAGCAGTTTGAAAGCACGTCAAAGTGCAAGTAGGTAAATAGGTACCGCTCCGGTGGGAAGGTAAATGGCGTTTCCGTGCACTGCTCTGGTTCGCCAGAAGCGGCTTAGTCATGCTGGCCACATGACCTGGAAGCTGTACGCTGGCTCCCTTGGCCAATAAAGCGAGATGAGCGCCGCAACCCCAGAGTCGGTCACCACTGGACCTAATGGTCAGGGGTCCCTTTACCTTACTATTTCTGGGTTAGCGGAGTCTGTAACCTGAAGCGTATGTAACCTGAGGTACCGCTGTAATGAAATCTAACAGCCACAAAGTCTGCAATGATCTCAATAAATCCCCCTCTGGACTCTGCACCTGCCAGGTGGGATTCAGAGCAGACCCCTTTCTCCACCCCCACAACTGCCTTTGATTCCCACTTAAACCACCAGACAGGTTGGTTGGTTTCTCTATGCCTTGTACCCAGTGAAGATTTTATTCACACACACACCCTGCCCTTCCCGATAGTGGTTCTTCACTCACCCTTTCTTCCCTGGCAGGACAGGGGTAGGCAGATACCATTTTGTGGTTCGCCTCAGGTACCAAAATGTATTGGGCCAGGCCTGGCCTTTCCCCATGGCGCTTATGCAGCTTTCAGGTTATGCCGGGTGTGTGTGTGCAATGTGCCCTTGAGCATGTGCAGAATTCTGTAAGGCAATTCCCTCGCACAGCAGGTCGGCAAAGGGAGAAAGGGTACCAGCTTCAGAATGCCCTTCAGAAACTCTCTTATTTCACAACCAGTGTGGCATAGTTGATAAAAAGGGTCACGACTAGGACCTGAGAGCTCACGGCATGTTACTGCCTCTAGGCCTAACGTACCTCACAGGGTTGCTGCGGAGATTAAATGAGGGGTAGAACCACGTGCTCCACCTTGGAGAAAAAGGTGGGATATAAATACAATAAACGAAAATGGGGGGGGGGGAGCCACAACAATCCTAAGTGTGTTGAGTCGATTTACTTCCTCTCGAGATAGGTCGGCATTGTCCGCCCCTTGGCGCCCGAGCATGAACCGCCCGTCCCCAACTGACCCCGGCCTTGGCCATCAGCCAGCGCCCTGCGGCAAACGGGCCTCGCTAATCCGCCATTTTGTGCCAAACTCTCTCCTTCACTTCCAAAAATGCGGCTGCTCTCGTCCCGCCCACTGCCTTCCCGCTCTGAGGTAACCAGCGACCCGATTGGCCAGTTTCTCACCCCCTTCCTCCCGTCCGACCACCTCATTGGTCACTCCCCACGCCCGTCCGAATCTTTAGTTTGCGCTCAGCCCGGCTCCCCTTCCCCCTCCCTGTCTCATTTCTCCGCCCAATCCCTCCCGTCGAATATTATATAAATATTGGGGGGGGGGACCCGATTCTGCGAGGGATTGGCTCCACCTCAGAACACAAAAGACAGAAAAAGAACAGGCCCTATCTACGCCTAACAGCTCTCCGGTTATGCAAATAAAGGCGACCGGGGGAGAAATTTCATTGGCCCAGGGCCACGTCGTGGAGCGCGAACATTTTCTCTCCCTCCCACCCACATACACTGTCTTGCCGCGCTGGGAGAGATGAAAGTTCTAGAACCAGAAGAAGGAAAGAGACCGAGAAAGCCGGCCGGCACCCGTTGAATCACCCGTTTCCCCCGCCCCCTTCTCTTTCCTTTGTTGCGTCACATACGCCTCACGCAATGCCTCTACGGCCATTGGCTGAAGTGGGCGGGGAAGGCGGGCGACCGACGCGGCGGGATTGGCCCGTCGGCCGGAAAGAGGCGTAGCCCTTCTGGAAGGTTCTCCAGTAGTATATAATGACTTGAGGCTGGGCCGGGAAAGCCGCTTTTTCTCCAGAGCTACTCGAAGCAGCTACTCGTTTCCTGGTTTTTGAAGGAAAACGAAGCAGGTAATTTCTTTGAAGGGGGGGGGACAGTAATGCAGAGTGGGTGCCTATATATGCGCTAATTGCATCTGATTCATTGATTTCTTTTCCTTCCGTGGTTGGGGTGGAGGAAAGTAGAGTATTTGCTAAAGTGGAAAAAACCTTGTCGCTCCTTAATTTTGCAGGCTTCCCATTCCTTCTGTCCCTTTTCCTTTCAGCTGTACAAAACGTCTTTCCAGCCTCTTTCTCTTCGCCTCCACTTTCTCTAGCATAGGGGTCTCGGCCTGAGTATGGGGGGGGTGACAATGGCGCCTGAAACGGGTGTTCCTTTAGGGAAACAGATAAAAGGAAATAAATTTAAGGAGAGGCTCGGCTAAACGCTTCGTACCGAAGAAGAAAAAGGAGGAAACGAGCGCGCGGGGGGGCGGAGATAATGGTATGGATCGCCTTTGGAAAAACTAGGCTAAATCTGCTAAGGCGATTAAAGTACACGTGGGCGGGCCGCCTTCCTTTAATAAAGCTGCTGCATTGGCCTTTTCTTTGAACGGGGGAGTGAAAAGGAAGGAAGGATGAAGGCAGACTCCATTCTGCTACACATTTGTTCAGTCTATGCCCCGATAAACCTGGCTATAGGATTGCACGGGCGAGCCCGTTGATTTAATGCGGGAAAATTAGGTGGGGGCAACCCCGGTTAAAAACGGGAATAACCTTTCTCTTTCTCCCCCCACATTTATGTATCCTGTGCTACTAATCCATTTACTTGGATGGGGAAAGATTAACGAAATCGGCGGGGGCGTCTTAATGCTTAGGATACGGAGCGCAGGCGCTAAGCCTTAGAAAATGGGGGCGGTCGTTGTTATTTTCCTGATGACCTTGAAATATTGAGGCGAGGAAATGAGCAGCAGATGGCATGGGGGCAGGATTGCTGCCTCCCTCGACCTTAGATCACTGGAGTCTTGCTTTAAAAGCAGAAGTTCTTAAGTAACTGCTGGCGAAAGGTCCAGTTCCTTTTTAGGGTGGTGTGGAGGAATCTCTTCTGTCTTCTCCCTTCGTTAGTGGTGCAGAAAGCTTACCTAATCGCCCTTCTTTGCTTCCTCCTCTCCCCCTCCTCGCCACGTGCTCAGCAGCGCCCTCGGCCGGTTCCGGCCGGCATCTTTGCACGTGGTCTGGTATTGCTCCTCCCATCTTCCGAGACCGCATGTTCCAAATGCAGGCCGCGGAGGGAGGGGGGGAAGAGGAGGTTCCCAGAATCCATCGCGAAGCCCCGCCTCTTTCCCGCGCGGGTGGAGCGCTCTTAGGGCATGCCGGGAAAAGTAATTCAATCCTTCTGGTGCCCCTCGTGGCTGGAACCTCGGCGCTTCCGCCTCGGCCACGTGGTGGCTTCTCCAAAGTCGCTGCACCGCCTTCGATCCCCATTCTATTGGCTTTAGGACAGAAGGGTTTCAGAGGGTTCAGATTTGCGAGTCAGGGTGCCTGATGGGATATTAAAATTGAATGCATAAAAGCATGCATAATTTTACATCCAGGCAATGGGGTTCTAAGCAAGAAACATTTTGGAAAAGAGGCCTAGTCCTGCACAAGTGATGCTTTGATTTCAAGGCAAGAAAAAATCCAAATTGTTTCAGAGTTAATCTAGTTAGTTTTATGGCCAAATGGGGATTTAACTGTATGGTCCTCTTGGCCATTTCTGAAACTTCACTAGGCTGGTTCTAGGATAATTGTTTTACTAAATAGTTCTTAATGTCTTAATGATCGTTCTTAATGTGGATTGGCTTACAGTTTTTGCTTTGAATATGTTGCTTCCCGTGCTTAAACATTACAGGTATGAATTGTTGATATCTAATTAAATGTTACTGTCTTCACAGCTACAATGTCTAAGGGACCATCTGTTGGAATTGATCTTGGCACCACCTATTCCTGTGTGGGTGTCTTCCAACATGGCAAGGTGGAAATCATTGCCAATGACCAGGGTAACAGGACCACTCCCAGCTATGTTGCTTTCACTGACACAGAGAGGCTTATTGGTGACGCTGCAAAGAACCAGGTGGCAATGAACCCCACCAACACTGTCTTCGGTAAGGATCATCAAGACTTCCTGGAAGCATTTGTCTTGCACAATGTCCATTTAGATTAAGGCTTGCTTAAGGTGTTTGTCATGCAACTGTGCTGTAATAACGAAATTAGGTAATAACAAAGTATAATAGTAGCAGGGCACAGCTAATTAAAACAGTTTTCCATTTCAAAAGCCAGCGAGGTTGAGGTTTCTCAACACCACTCTTGAGATACATTTAAAACCACTTCCTTAAGGGAGTCACTTCCCTGATCTTACAACATGCCCCATACAAATAGCTGCATTATTGGCAAGAATACCAGAGAGGTGCAGAGAAGGCTTAGTATGTCCACCTGGAGTTTTGGTAGTTTCTCCACCCCTGGGAAGATTTGGTGTTTTATTGAGGTGCATAACCCTTTGTATGTGCTTCATTCAAATTGGAAATAAGCCTTGTAGCACCTTAAAGGCCAACAAGTTTGTTGCAGCATCAGCTTTTATGGATTTGTTTAACTTAATTCTTAGTAGGCATGTATAAAATGTTTATTTAGTAGAATGTATAATTGTACAACTCATACGTACATTTTACTTTGTATACGTTCTGTATACAAATTCAATTACCAATAAATTCAGACTTTTCCCATTAAGCTGCAGCATTTTCTGCTCAGTGCATGTATGCTTCTTTGAAAGTTGGTATAATTAAATCTGAAAGACCCTTTTTTGCTGCATTCAATCTAAAATAGCTACTTTTCTGGAAACTGTTAAGACTAGGAAGTGCAGTGTGCCATTATTAAAATGACACAGGAAGTCACCAGTGAAGCATTACTAACAAATAACTAAAATCTTTTTATAGATGCAAAGCGTCTGATCGGCCGTAGATTTGATGATGCTGTTGTCCAGTCTGATATGAAGCACTGGCCTTTCACTGTGGTGAATGATGCTGGCAGACCAAAAGTCCAAGTGGAGTACAAAGGAGAAACAAAAAGCTTTTATCCAGAGGAAATTTCTTCCATGGTGCTAACTAAGATGAAGGAAATTGCAGAAGCGTACTTGGGAAAGGTGAGGCCTTAAAATGACAGCATTGTGATTGCAGATTGTATGCTGTGTTGTTTCTATACTTCAACACAGGTTTCTTTTTACCTTTTGCAGACTGTTACAAATGCTGTCGTCACAGTCCCAGCTTACTTTAACGACTCCCAACGCCAGGCTACAAAAGATGCTGGAACCATTGCAGGTCTCAATGTGCTCCGGATCATCAATGAGCCAACTGCAGCTGCTATTGCTTATGGCTTGGACAAAAAAGTGAGTGGTGAAAGGCATCCCAGTCCATGGTGAGGAATATCTGGGTATTACTAATTTGTCTTCATTTCCACTAATGTGTACCTTTTATCATGTATCCTAGGTCGGTGCTGAGAGAAACGTGTTGATCTTTGACCTTGGTGGTGGCACCTTTGATGTCTCGATCCTCACCATTGAGGATGGCATCTTTGAAGTAAAGTCAACTGCAGGTGACACCCACTTGGGTGGGGAAGACTTTGACAACAGAATGGTCAACCATTTCATTGCTGAATTCAAGCGCAAACACAAGAAGGACATCAGTGAAAACAAGCGAGCTGTTCGAAGGCTCCGCACTGCCTGTGAGCGTGCGAAGCGTACTCTCTCCTCCAGCACTCAGGCCAGTATTGAAATAGATTCCCTGTATGAGGGTATTGACTTCTACACCTCAATTACCAGAGCTCGCTTTGAGGAGCTGAATGCTGACTTGTTCCGTGGCACTCTTGACCCTGTGGAGAAAGCCTTGCGGGATGCCAAGCTAGATAAATCTCAGGTGCATGATATTGTACTTGTTGGTGGCTCCACTCGCATCCCCAAGATCCAGAAACTCCTTCAGGATTTCTTCAACGGCAAGGAACTGAACAAGAGCATCAACCCTGATGAAGCTGTGGCTTATGGTGCAGGTCAGTACTAAGATGTAGTAATAGTCTGAAAGCTTATCAGCAATGTGTCCTTGCAGTTACACCAAAATTTTGGGCAATATACCTGTAGATTAAGCATGTGTTTACACGCAAGCCTAGAATCCAGATTCCTTCCTATAAACTTGATTTCTTGCATTGATGACTGGTTCCAAATCCATTCGCGGTTTCCACCAGAAGCTGATAATGATGGTCCAAACCTTCCTTGGATGTCTGAGCGAGTAGAATTATTTGAGTAGTAAAGGGGCATAGTGTGTACTTTTGTTTATGCATAACCTCTTTTTTCCCACTTTACAGCTGTTCAAGCTGCAATCTTGTCCGGGGACAAGTCTGAAAATGTGCAAGACCTGCTGTTGCTGGATGTCACTCCTCTGTCGCTGGGTATTGAAACAGCTGGTGGTGTCATGACGGTCTTGATTAAAAGAAACACCACAATCCCCACAAAACAGACTCAGACCTTCACCACGTACTCTGATAACCAGCCAGGTGTGCTGATTCAGGTATGGTAAAAATGTTCCATGGGAGTTTAGCTAAAAATACTGCCATTTAATCTAGGACTACCCATATGGTGCCCTCCAGATGTGCTGAAATTCTGGCTAACCTGGCATTTAACAGTGTTGGTTTTAGTTTATGGGAGTATCAACTTCTGGAGGACATCACATGAATTATTTACTCTGCTATGTAAGGATAGCAAGCTGGTGTCTGGTTGCAATGATGAAAGAGATTCCAAAACCATTCGTAGTTTCCACCAGAGGTTGAAAGACCTATGTTGGCTCAAAGTACCTTCCTTGGATGTCTGAGCGACCAACTTACTCATATCTGCTTAGTTTCCTATTAAAGAAAATTTATTTTAAAATGCATTCTAATCCTATAAATAGAGCCTTTGTACTTGTAAAAGAGGCTGACCATAGACATTTCCTGTTCTTTTATAGGTTTATGAGGGCGAGAGAGCAATGACAAAAGACAATAACTTGCTGGGCAAGTTTGAATTAACTGGCATCCCTCCAGCTCCAAGGGGCGTACCTCAAATTGAAGTAACATTTGACATTGATGCCAATGGTATCCTCAATGTGTCGGCTGTGGATAAGAGCACTGGCAAAGAGAACAAGATCACAATAACAAATGACAAAGGTAAGTTGCTGATATGCGAAGAAGCTTATGAAATGGAAGTAGGTAACTCAGTATAGATTAGCCAAAACTAATTGACCTAATGTTCAGGTTTCAGGTGAGAATAAGGTGGTAATCCAGATGCCAGGGGCCCTTTACCTTTTTTTTAAAAAAACAACAAACCAACTATGCAGCAAATAGTGGTTTGACTGGCAAAACACAAAACTAAAAAAGTATTTTATTCTTCAAAGGCCGCCTCAGTAAGGAAGACATCGAACGCATGGTCCAGGAAGCTGAGAAATACAAGGCTGAAGATGAAAAGCAGCGTGACAAGGTGTCATCCAAGAACTCCCTAGAATCCTATGCTTTCAATATGAAAGCTACTGTGGAAGATGAGAAACTTCAAGGCAAAATTAGTGATGAAGACAAGCAGAAGATCATGGACAAGTGTAATGAGATCATCAACTGGCTGGATAAAAACCAGGTTTGTAGCTCCACCCCAACCTAGATATCTAAAGGAAGGGTTTTTTACACTTCAAGCAGTACACTTCGAATAGTACAGTCCACAAAGCTGTTCTGTATGGAAGAAAGCAGCCTACACTTTAAAAAGCTAGCAAGTGCCTAGAGGGGCACTACAAATCTTTAAACAGTGGGTCTGTCCTTGACACTAAAAAAAAGGTGGAGTAGTAGCCAGTGGTTCGCAATGATGAAAGAGTTTCCAAAACCATTCGTAGTTTCCACCAGAGGTTGAAAGACCTATGTTGGCTCCAAGTACCTTCCTTGGATGTCTGAGCGACCACTTGGTAATACATCTGTTGGGCGGTGCAATCCCCAATTGCCCAGTAAAGACGCTTTATGCATCATGCAAAAGTTCACTTGGAATGGCTTGTATAAATCTTAAGATGCAGTTCAGGAATGCTAGTGTTTGAGTGGTAAGTGGGTTTAGCCAAGCCTCCTTCCTTTGTATACAAGTGTACAGAGGAACAACTAACACGGATGCTTTCTTCCGGTATATTTTTAGACTGCTGAGAAGGAAGAATTTGAGCACCAACAGAAGGAGCTGGAAAAAGTTTGCAATCCCATCATAACCAAGCTGTACCAGAGTGCAGGTGGGATGCCCGGAGGCATGCCTGGTGGCTTCCCTGGTGGTGGAGCACCCCCCTCTGGAGGAGCATCTTCTGGACCAACCATTGAGGAGGTGGATTAAAGCTCTAGAGAGGACATTTCTGTGGACCACCTTCAGAACTGAAGGACTCAAATTACAAAGGGCATTCTTGATACTTTGAACATGTGCACAGGGAGGGGAAGGCAAACACTGCACTTTACCAGTACTGTATAAAAGTAGAAATGCAACTTGAGTCCCAATAAACTTATTTAATTGGCAACATGAAAGATTTACTTGTGGTGCTTCCTTAGTAGGCAGACTCATTGTGATGCCAGGAGCAAGGCATCAGCATTCACGTTTAGCTACTTTACATTAATCTTCCTGGTGCTGTTTCCAGATTTCTACTACACAGCACCCTTGTTATAAGGTCGTATTTGTATGCCTGGAAGAATGCCAAATTATTCCACAGCAAGCATGGATCTGAAGCTGGAACTTTTGAAATTCAAGGCTATTCACTGCTTTTGCATAGCTCCTATATTAGCAGAATTGTCCTCTTACCACCTTTTGACAAGGGAGGAGGGGAGACTTACTTTGTGTAAAACCCTGCAAACTCCCACAAATGGGTTGTTATAGCCTCTCCCCAGGTTTGTAATACTATTAATCCACTCAGCTGGGAGGCATAATAGGATTGCTACACAACAGTACACATGGAGGTTTTGTACATTTAGCATATGTTTCTAACGCTACTAAATGAGATCCACCTCAGTGGGGAATTGAGCACTAAATTACAATGTATCTGTTAAGTGCCAGAAATCTTTTGTGATGTATCTTCAGTACTTTGGTGGATAGCAACCTAACACTTAACATGCTTCAAAACACACATGAAATACATTGCCAGAGAGGGCTAAATACTGTATTAACTAGCCAGAACCTTAAAACCAGCAATCCCACCCCAATGCAAATTTGCTTTCTAAAATGTTTTGTATGCATCTGTTTCCTTCCCAAGGTTTAATGGGGGAAAAGAGAAACTACGGCCCACAATAAGGGAGAGTATTTGAACCTAGATGAAGCCATAGAAGGGCAGCCCCCTAAAAATCAGTCCTCCATATTTATTTTAGAGAAGTGACAATGAAGCATTATACAAAATGGAAGTTGCAAGGGTTTCATGAGATTGAAAGGTCTGTTCTTGGATACATTCAAAAGGAAGTTATACTCAGATTCTACAAGTATTCTAGCATGGTTCCCCCCACCGAATACACTTAATAGTGCTAGTTGTTCAGTTAATCAGCCACCCATATGTTTACACATGAGCCAGATCTGGTTGGTGAAGTACCCCCTCTGTTTTTCGTAGGGGGAGATAGAACAGCAAAGGAAGGTCTTTGCACTCTAGTAGAGCGTATTAATGAATTTAAGTTTGCTGTATCCAATTCTCTATTGTGACCAACACCAAAGTTTCTGAGTATATGGTTAGGATTAATGTAGATCCCACTGAACTCAGGGCCTGCTCCTAAGTGGCTTTAGGATAGCAGTCTTTGGCTTTGATCAGGGCAGCCTCTTGCCCCCATATAAGTCCTGTTTTCCTTAATATCCATGTTGATAAAGGTGCTGCTATGACCAGTAAAACAGCTGCTTTAAACAGTCTAAATCTGTTAATTTACCTCTGAATTGTCAGCACCGGCTAGCAGTGTTGCTCCAGGGTTTCAGACAAAAGCTCTTCCTATCTAATTGAAACCGAACCTCATACATTCTGCATGGAAGCATGTCCTTTCCCACTGAGCTATGACCCACTTCCCTAGAGGAAGCTGGTGTTAGTTTTGGGGGAGGGATTCAGATGTGTCATGTCTTCAAATATCTTTATGAGTGCCGGTGTTGTCTACTGGTTAGAGCAGTGTTTCCTAAACTTTGTCTCCAGCTGCTGTTGGACCACAACTACCATCATCCCTAGCTAGCAGAACCGGTAGTCAGGGATGATGGGAATTGTAGTCCAAAAACAACTGGAGATCCAAGTTTGGGAAACCCTGGGTTAGTGTGTCATACTAGGATCTGGGGCACCAGTGTTCTAATCTCCACTTGGCCATGAAGCTCACTTAGTGACCTTGGATCAGCCACGACAGGGCTGTTGCAGGGATTAAATGAGGATGGGGGAGCTCGGAGAAAAGGGTGGGATATAAGTGTAATAAATACAAGACTAATAAAGCTTTTGAACTCTCAAAATTATTTAAGCCAGGATACATACCTGTCACATGCATAGCTGCTGTATAGATGCCCCATTTAATTGCTTGATCACCCAGTGAACTCCCAGAATTTGTGGCCTGAAGTGGCATGCCTGGTTTTAGGCCTTTTTTGAGGCAGTATAGTTAAAAGCCAAAATTCTTGTTCTGTCCACCAGATGTCAGCAGTCACTAATTTATAAAAGCTGTGTGTTGAGGATTTGGAGTTCGGCTACTTGGGGATGTGGAGCTCAGCTAGCTTTGTTTTTTGGTGTTACTGGATGAGTTCGAATGTCAAGAGAGGATGGCAGACAGTCACACAGCAGTTGCACTTCAGAGCATGAATTTTTCTCATCACTTGCATATTCGGGTGAGGTGCTCCAATCAATGCATCCCTAGTTGGCAGGAGCATCCCAAATCAAGACACCTGCACAGATTCTAAGAGGAGAAGTTATAAAAAGTTGAATGCAATTGCCTCAGCGATGAAAGGTCAACAAGGAAATTTTAGCATATTTGGAAGTGGGGCATGAAGCTCACTGGGTGATCCTGGGCCAATCAGTGCCTTTCAGCCTAACCTACCTCATAGGGGTGTTGCAGGAGATTAAATGAGGGAAACTATGTATACCACTTTGAGCTCCTTGGAGAAAAAGATGGAATATATCTACAATAAATAAACAGAAAATATATATATTTTTTCCCTCCCAAGCTCATGGGATTTGAACCTTCGTCCCTCCCAGGTCCAAGTCTGGCACTATAACCAGTACACCACCCTGCCTTTGCTGCTGCATGAAGTGTGGAAAGGCCTTGCGCAGTACATACGCCCTCCACCAGAACCAGCTGATTATCTCCCTCCCCAGCTTTCTCTGAGAGAGGCTGTCTTTATATCATCAGCTTCAGTTCCTGCCTGATTAAAAGAGGGCAGGAAGCTAATTCCTTGCTTATTGGAGGGTTGAGAAGCTATCTCATCACATCTGACTGGAAAGTCTCATAGATTTTAATTCCTGTCTTGGCCATCTCTGCATTGGTTCCCCTTTCAGGAGGATAATTCCCAGCCAGGCGCCTCGAGGACCGAGCCGCCTGTTTGATCTGAAGCTATTTAGGCCCCTTTAGTTGCGTCATAATCTTCACGAAACTTGGAACAATGCGCAAACTGAGCCTGGCTCCTTCCCTTTTGTGTTTTGCAACCACTTTGGAGCAGCCGCTAGATCTCTCTCTCTCCACCCCCCTTCCTCCCATCCCTATATTAGGATTATGGCCATTAATTTTAGATTACAGGCGCAACAGCATCCAACTGGAGAGGACAAAAGGCAAGAGGAAAATAACATCTTAGATTGAGCTGACTGGTGACTAATTAATGTGCATGGGCAGTCATCACATATGCTAAAAGCAACCTCCTTCTCCATTGCAGATCCTTCTGCAGTCAAAACACCACCAACCATACAAACTTTGGGGGGCGGGGAATTTGCAGAAGTGCAAAAGAACTTTCGAGGGGAAAACCCTCAGTTGAGGGAAACGCCCAATAAACTGAGAATGTTGCATTGATGGAATTGCAGAATTGCAAGGGACCCAAACAGTCATCTAGACCAAACCCCTATAATGCAGGAATTTGTTGAGCAGAGGGTGAAATAAAAAATCCCAGAGAAGGACATGGCTGGATGAAACCTTAAACAGAGCAATCTGAACTGCAGTTTTATTGCAGGTTGCCTTGTACAGGCAAGAAGACCCAGCAATGTAAGGAGAGCACATCTGGATCTGGCCAAAGGCCCATCTAGTCTTGCATCCAGTCCTCACAATTGTGGGGAGTCCGCAAGCAAGATTTGAGGGCAACAGCGCTCTCCCCACTTGTGATTCTCTGCAACACGTATTCAGAGATATATGGCTTCCACAACAGAGGCACAACATCGCCATTGCGGCTTCTAGCCATTGATAGCCCTGTCTCCCCCATCCATTTGTCTAATCCTCTTTCAAAGTCATCCAAGTTGGTAGTCATCTTGCAGCAGTGAATTCCATAGGTTAACTCTGCACTATGTAAATAAATCCTAGGGACGCAGGTGGCGCTGCGGTCTAAACCGCAGCCTAGGGCTTGCCGATCAGAAGGTCGGCGGTTCGAATCCCCATGACGGGGTGAGTCCCGTTACTCGGTCCCTGCTCCTGCCCTCCTAGCAGTTTGAAAGCACGTCAAAGTGCAAGTAGACAAATACAGTGGTGCCCCGCAAGACGAATGCCTCGCAAGACGGAAAACCCGCTAGACGAAAGGGTTTTCCATTTTTCAATGCGCTTCGCAGGACAAATTTCCCTATGGGCTTGCTTCACAAGACGAAAATGTCTTGCGAGTCTTGAGATTTTTTTTCGCTCCCCCCCCCTTTTTCTAAGCTGCTAAGCCTTTAATAGCCTTTTAGCAGCTAAGCCGCTAAGCCGCTAAGCCTTTAATAGCCGCTAAACCGCTAATAGTGCTAATCCGCTAAGCCACTAATAGGGTTGCTTCGCAGGACGAAAAAACCGCTAGACGAAGATACTCGCGGAATGGATTAATTTCGTTTTGCGAGGCACCACTGTAGGTACCGCTCCAGCGGGAAGGTAAACGGTGTTTCCATGTGCTGCTCTGGTTCGCCAGAAGCAGCTTAGTCATGCTGGCCACATGACCCGGAAGCTGTCTGTGGACAAACGCCGGCTCCCTCGGCCTATAGAGCGAGATGAGCATGCTACCCCAAAGTCGTCTGCAACTGGACCTAACGGTCAGGGGTACCTTTACCTTTACCTGTGTAAATAAATACTTTTTAAAAAACTTTTTTTGTCCTGTCTCTTCTAACATTCAGCTTCATTAGCTGTCCCCGAGTTTTAGGAGGAAAACTTTTTCTATCCACTTCCTCCAACCCATGTATACTTTTATAC